GAATGGCCAAGTCAAAGTCCAGACCTGAATCCAATCGAGAATCTGTGGAAAGAACTGAGAACTGCTGTTCACAAACGCTCTCCATCCAACCTCACTGAGCTCGAGCTGTTTTGCAAGGAGGAATGGGTAAAAATTTCAGTCTCTCGATGTGCAAAACTGATAGCGACGTACCCCAAGCGACTTACAGCTGTAATCGCAGCAAAAGGTGGCGCTACAAAGTATTAACTTAAGGGGGCTGAATAATTTTGCACGCCCAATTTTTCAGTTTTTTATTTGTTAAAAAGGTTTGAAATATCCAATAAATTTCGTTCCACTTCATGATTGTGTCCCACTTGTTGTTGGTTCTTCACAAAAAATTACAGTTTTATATCTTTATGTTTGAAACCTGCAATGTGGCAAAAGGTCGAAAAGTTCAAGGGGGCCGAATACTTTCCCAAGGCAATGTATATTGACCCAGTCATTTTTAGTTCAAATGGGGCCGTGTTATTCAGAAGGGATTTAACTATCACCTAGTGCCAGACTTATGAATACTACATCCAGTGTGACACGACACAGACCTCATTTGAGGCATAAATCAACCTTATAAAATGAGACCTGGGGCATTGTACTATATTTGGTCTAGCTCACAGAAACATAAAGACAACATAACTATACTTCTGAATTTGTGCTGTGTGTGTGTGTGTGTGTGTATGTATGTATATGTGAGGAAGAAGCCAAACTAAATTCGAAAAACACCAAGATCTTTGTTGTTTTCTGTTTACTGCAAAAGCAGCGTACGTTGAGCTTGCTTTGCAGTAAACGTCTGGCTTGACTTTGAGGAATTACATATTAATGCTTGTGTGTGTCTATGCATGCATACATCTGTGTGTGTGTGTGTGTGTGTGTATGTGGGAAACAGAAGGGGGCTCAGGAGGTGTTGACTGTGGAGATTAAAGAGGAATTAGAGAGAGCTGAGCACAGGGAGGCACAGAGCTACACAAGACGGAGAGATTCTCTGAATATTCAAATCTCTCATTTTAATTCTGCTGCAGATTACTGAATCTTTCATCTCTGAAGGAAGGATCGACCTTAGGTTGCTTGACTTTGTGTGTGTGTGTGTGTGCGCGCGCGCGCCATTGTAAAGCGTGTATAGTGACAGACTGGCCCATGGCATTTTCTATGTGATTGAAAAAGCGTTTTTTTTCCTCTTTATATTAATACTCACAACACATTGTAACCTAACACAATGTTATCGGCAATGTTTTGTTGCTACTCCCTCGAGGGCTGTACTGTGCATGTTTTACACTGTTATACTGGCTAAATACACATTTAACTCATTTGTAGACTGGATACATACAACATAAGCAACAGCCATGATGCCCCAGAGCTATTGTTGCTTTGGCAGAATTACTGAACAGAATGTAAATCTTTGTGTGTGTAAAAATGGTCTCTCAACTGGACTGCCCCCTTCAACATGCTACATATATCACACACTGCCTACCACACCGCACTCTCTGAAATGTTAACTTCTCAGATGCCCCCGGTATATTTCTCATCCTTTTTAAATTCGTCTCCAGAGGATAAGCGTCAGGGTTTGCATTCGTCCTGCCTCCCATAGTAGTACTGCGTCTGTTAACTTGAATATCCAGCTGCTGCATGCCATAGCAATGGGAGCTTGGCTCATTGGCAGGGAGCATTGTTTTTCTAGAAATACAGCAGACCAGTAATGTTTCCCTTGTTATCGCAATATCATCACATAAACATTTGATAAGTAATATACAGTACGTATAAGTAGTATGAGTATGTGAGATTATGAGAGTTGCATTGCAGCGCTGGATAGACACAGAGAGCATATAAAACTAACATATGCAGTTGAGCTTTAATCAATCTAGATACCTCATATTTATTAATATTTGAAATAAATAAAGGTAAAATTTTTTCAAGAGATTCACATGTTTAACTTCCCTCACAGTGGAGGAAAGCCTTTGTCAGCAGGGAGAATAAAGACATGTGGCATTTTGGCAGAGTGCATTGCGCACTTGTCAGGTTTGGTTAATAAAGTGGCCTGACATAGGTGAGTAGTGGCAGCCAGGGCTCAGGAAATCCTCTGTCAGATGTGCAAATGGGCCGGCATACAGATGATGTGTTGGAGGAAGCAGAGCAAAGAGAATACAATTGCTTGTGGATCGCTACTACAGACTGATTGAAATGTTTAACCAATTCATTTTCACAGGGATTTTGTTTGTTCAAGAATTGTCTTAAAATGAACAAGGACATAAACAATTGATGTTAGTCTCTCCAATTGTCAATATTTCATATTATAAATAACCTCTAACCCACTCTGTCCATAATCTGATGATCATATCAACATTCGCTATTGATCCCACTGGGTGTAGGAAGCCTTATGTATTCAGGTAAAATTCCTTTTTGACATGCCCTCCTGAGAATTACACTTGGCCCCTCATTACCCTGAAAGTAATGCGTGCAATACTTCCTTCCCATATACAGTATTTTGTATATTTCATATATGTATTTAGTCTGGTTTGCCTATTTATTTTTTGAATTGATTTTTATTCTACAGGAACTGCAGAAATGTTGAATTGCATTTCCATTGTGTTTGCTGCAGGACATAGTGCTGCCTTATTTTTACGTCCATTACTGATCACAAGGGAGGTGACTTGTCCCCAGAAGCAACGTCTCATGGTTTTCTCAGGGGTTTCTTGGTATAGTCAAGTTCAATATGAACATTGTGTGCTGTGCACTACGCACCAGGTTGTCAGCCAAGTATGAGGCTCAAGAGACTGGAAAATCCGCAGTTGTTAGTGTTGGATAAATTAAAGCTTGTAGCCATGGCTATAGGAGACCGCAATTATCTTTTCCTCTAACAGGCACTGGAGAAAGTTAGGATGATAGGTCATGGATACGAAATTCTGTCTCAGCCCCTGTTCACAGCAGCGAGTCCTGATTGTCCTTATGTGTGTGCAGCATAAACTTCATGTAATTTACCTAAAAATGTAGAAGACTGGTGGTCACCATTCGTGTTCTACTTTTACTCCCTGTCTAATTAAAACAGTATTTCACTCTGGCAATACTTTAATGCTGCAACTCCGTGAACACACCAGATCACTGCATGTGTGTGTGTGTGTCTGTGTGTGTGTGTAAAACTAAAGTAGAGACCAGGGTTAGTGCCTTTTCCTAGTTGAGGAGACATAATTTAAAGTTATTTCCTGCTCTTGTTCTCTTTGTCATTTTCCCTCCTCCTGTGTCTGTCTCTCACTCATGCTGTCTTTGTACTTTTTGATTACCGTTTGTCTATTATTTATTTTTCATTTCCCCTCATACTCCAGCTGCAGAAGCACTGTGGTATGCTGTCTATATACATTTTTATTAGCTAACTTATTAGTTTTTATAGACTGATTTGATTTATGGAATCGCATTAGCATGTTGTCAGCACTCCTACAATGGATTTATGAGTTTGTTATCAGTAAGAGTGCATCTACACTGATCTATTTAATGTGTTCGTCCATGTTAGTTCTCATGATGAGTATCTCTTTATTGTACATGGCTGTACAGGGCTTCTCTACCAGATTTGTATCTGTTTTGATGAAAAGAAAAACAATCGAATAAGATGAAAGTTAGGATTTGAAGCTGACTTAGGCTTTTCAGATTTGTCATCTTTGATTTAGTTGACTGAAACAAGAGTGTAATTTAAGTTGCCATCCATGTTGCTGCACTCAAACGATGTCAGTGGAATTCATAAACAATCCCAGACAGAAGATATTCCAATCAAATGCATGTCTATCTAGAGAGGCACCAATGTGGTTGCATTGCTAAGACTCCATTTCTTATAGATGTATCATATTTGGAGCCCTTACGATGTGAACAGAAAATAAACTGAGATAAGGGAAAGAAAGAAATAATATCCTCTGTTGATAATGCCCTCTGTAACTTACTTCTTTGCCCTAAATAGATAATCTCAATGGTAGTTAAAAAAGGATAAAGAAAGGATAAAGTAAAAGTAAATCAACAAAAGTGCTATTTTAGTCAGGTCAGAAGTGGAATACGACTCAGAGGTTTTCACAAAACACACCAAAGATTCACATGAATTCTTACTGTCACTGTCTGTTTTCAGATATTGAAATCAATTGCAACAAATGAGTAGAATTATAAAATTCAAATCCCTGAGATCTTTTCTTTACATTCTGTCATTGATCAATATTAGTAAATTATGCAACAGGATGTACAGTAGACATGGACCCATTAAAATGTTTATTTGTGAAATCATGAAAAGGGCTCAAAGCAGATTAACAGACAACAGCTAGGCCCTCTGGGTCATCATTAGACCCATTATGTGCATTAGGCTCACACAAAACTTCCTATTGGCATCCAGTTTCAGTGTGTTGGTGGGGTGTTTGTTTGCTCACATGCTCTTATGCTGGATCATGGTTGATTTCTTTTCTGAGATATTAGTGTTTCCTATGCTCATATATTTTAGAATCTTATACATCACATTATATCATTGTTTTTTATGGACTGGGGCTCTAATTATTTGTGTTATTGTCAAAACCGTGTCACAGACGCATTTAAGGACTCTTTAGGCCTTTAAGCATTCTGTTCCCGGTGTCAACTCTCTGAGTAACTGGGCCAGCTCCCCTTCTGCAAGCATGATTGCTTGTCTCACTCTGGAACAGGTCAACAGGCCTGTTTGGACCATGTTGCTCGTGCGTGTGGTTTGCACCTGTTCCTGTCTGCCCAGGAGGCACCTGTGGTCAGCAATGTTACAGAAAAGGCTGCCCCCAGCTTTGATGATGCAACATATAAAATCATCTGAGTCTCCTCATAGTTTTAAAGCAGACAGAAAACATTTTATTGCATTTTCAACTGCATGTGATTGTTTTAGTTATCCTGTGAAGCACATATCTCCGCTGGTATGAACACTACTATGTATTCAGCAAGTTGCTTTGTAATCCTACACTCTGTGTTGTTATACTATGTGTCTTGGCCTTAACCTCTTCCTGCACATGGTTCGAGCACGTATCCATGCTGGTGATCCTGCTCAACTGTGTGACTCTGGGGATGTTCCAGCCATGTGAAGACGTCACCTGCCAGTCAGAGTGGTGCCGCATCCTACAGGTTAGTGTAACTGTAACCCCGCCCTTAAAACTGTGCACATTATCTTACATGGCAATTTTTGTGTGCTTCCTCTCCATGAAAACATATGACTGACATTTACACTATTTCCCTCAGTACTTTCTCTAACGGTAGATTTAAAGAAGGCTAGAGAACTGTGTCGGGCCACACGCAACATGGGTTTGCTTACTATACCTTGGTGACATGTTGGAGCTTCTTCAACATAAGCACCTCTTACTGTAAATTCATGTGCCATGTTTTGATTTTTACTTATTTTAACTGACCTACATCAGTGTTTTACTGTCTAATGTGAAAAATTCAAAGGCAATTTTACTCATAGGGCCAAATATAAGAGACATAAAAGACTAATGCTAATTAATTGTAAATAAAGGGTTTCTTTTACACCAGGGATTGCTTTGATATTCTAGTTGTTAAGTGATTAGAATATAACAACAATGAATAAATCCAATTGGTAAAAAAGGTTTTTTTTCTTGTCTCATTTGTTGATTCTTGGCACACTGAGATGTGCTCATTATGTTCAAATACAGATGTTTTTTATTTGTTTTTTTGCTGTGGTAGATGTCTAATTAATTGAGAAACAGCCATCACCAAGCTAAGCCAGAGTGATTCCCTCCTGGGATGAAACTAACTAATGGAGACAAGACTTTCTTTCCAGTTAACCTCCATTGGCACAGCTTCTTTCAAAATGTGACTCTGTATCGATGAGTAAAATTTAAAAAGACCTGACCTTTTTGTCAATTTCTATATTATGTTATTGTTGTCAGTGTTAAACATTATTTCTATCTGTATGTTGTTTTTCCCATCATGTTTCTTCAGGTATTGGACGACTGTATCTTTGCTTTCTTTGCTGTGGAAATGGTCATCAAGATGGTGGCCCTGGGAATATTCGGCCCCAATTGTTACCTTGGTGACAAGTGGAACCAGCTTGACTTTGTTATCGTCATGGCAGGGTTTGTATCCCACAATGCTTTTTGCTCATGTCCGCAAATTGCTCAATTTTCTCTGCCATCTGCAGCTAGACAATAGAAGCCTGTTTAGAATAAAATAACATAACTTACGTGCGAAATTTAGGTGTGCCTATGGCAGACACATGGCAAATATGTATGATACAGGTGCACATGATTGTGGATGCAGGTGTGTTTATGTATATGTGGATGTGTTAGTCCTCATAATCATTATCAAAACCAGTGTGTGAAACCTCCCTGTGCTTTTTAGAAATGTGCATCTCACATTTGTCACACCTAAAGCATTAGTAATACAGCATTAATAACACAGAAACAACATGACAATGGTGGCGATACTGCTAGATATTCAGGGTTCCTTAAAACCATAACCCCGCCCTCACATTGTTCCACCAAATGTGACACTGTACTCCCTTGGGGCCTCAGCAACACACACAGCCACGTGTGAGGTCGATTGGATGTACGGTTCTCAACATAATCAAAATACAAACACACACCTACAGAGATTCCTGTCTTTACTAGAGAGAGATAGGAGGGTCCTATGGGCGAGACGCTTGCCTGGCGCTTAAGCCCAACTCGGCTAGCAGTAAGCCCACACTCCCCAGCAGACAGTGCAGATTCTCCACCTCTCAACTGGAGAACATATATCGCTGCAAGCTCACCATACCAGGGTAAAGCATGGGCAAGACAGTGGTTGCACAACGTCATCTATGGCTAACACTGATAGAACTTCCCGAGACGCAGCGCTCTGAGTTTCTCTACCAAGTAGTCGTACCTCTCCATGACGTCATTCCCAAAACAGTCTGCCTGGGCTAAACACTGTTTTGTCCCAAAGCAGGGTACGGCCCCAAAATCCCCTCAGGCGGTGAGAGGGAGAAAGCAGCCGAAGTCCCTCAGTTTACAGACCAAAATGGAACTGGAGATTTTGAATATAACCAATGTTTCGTAAGTGAGAGAAATTAGATATAACACAGGTTAGCATCTCAAAACCAGTTAACGCAGTGAAATGCAGTTTAGATTGAGGAGAGGAGACTGTGCAGGATAAGGTGGGACTTGGCCCAGCCTGCAACAGTTTCATTGGCCTTGTGTTGGTCTTTATTGTAAATGAATACAAGAAGCTTTTACCTTCAGGGTGACAGCAAACAAATGCCTCTAGTTTTGAGTTGGAAACTGAACTTAATGGAAATAAGCAAACACAGGAGGGATGTACAAAGAAAACCTCTACTACATCTGAGATAAGAGATTTTCAGTACAATCTTTACCAAGGTGAGCAGTCTCAAAATGCACTTATCAGCAACCAATACTTAGTTAGTTAATAGTTTTGAGACAGCTGCACAGCCAGATTAAAGGCTGGGGCTACTATAAACTGTAGGTTGAGGCAAGGGCAGGACCCAATCAGTAGCAGACATTCCTTTAGCTACTCCCACGCTCCAAGGGCCGAACCAGTATTACCACACACACTCCTCACACAGCCAGCACAATCACAGAGCAGAGTACAAGAAACTTAACACAATTAAGACCAAGTCTCTCTCTGCCTGTGTGTGACTTTTATGATGTTTGGGTGCTGCTATATAGACTATTCAGAGGCTTCTGACTCTGACTGTGATTAAATGTCATATGTATAGTAATTATGTGGGTATGTACTATTATAATCATTGTTATATTTTAGGTTTCTCAGTTTTCTTGTTGTCGCTTTGTGTAGATATACTGTATCTGTGGGCACAAATGCATTTTTGTAAAATGTAGGACAAGAAAGTAAAACACTCTTTCCCTGCCTTTCTCTCTGTGCTCAGGGTGATGGAGTATTCTCTGGATGGCCATAATGCAAGTCTGTCTGCCATCCGTACCGTCCGAGTACTTAGGCCACTTCGGGCCATCAACAGAGTACCAAGTAAGTCCGTGTTTGAGCCTTTGCAAGGATACTTCTTTGGGAAGGGTCCTGAATGTTCCTTAATAAGCAATGAGCACAATTTATCCACGTGCGATCATTCGCTCTTTTGCTCAATGCTATCACACAACAGTAGGCCACTGAAATTGCTACCCAAAGTTTTCATGGGTTGTATTCTAGCCACTTATGCATGAATTCAACTGGTAGGAAAGAAATATGTCCATGACAATGTTTGAAAAGGAGGTAATAAAATGAGCAAAAGGAATATGTTGCGTTATTGCCCAGAGTAGAACGACCTTTTAGTCATGAAAAGTTAAGATTTTTTATACTAAACATGATGAACAAGAATATATTTATTTTGATTTGTTTTTATTATTTGTCTTGAGCAACTTTACATAATTATTTGGTACAGGGTGCACATCTTTCTTTCCCAATACTGCCAGTATCATACTGTAATATACACACATCACAGGCAGTTCAACTTAGGTATCTGTGTAGATTCCTAGTCATCCAGGTCATAGTCCACGGTGTCATGATTTGAGGTGAGCGAAAAGCAGGTGAGAGCCCAAATGCAAGACACAGGAGCAGAAATGCAATTCAGGGATATTAATGCAAACAAAAGCAGGATATCAGGCTTACAGGCAGTTGAGGAATCCTAAAATCCAACGGCCCAAGCAGCAGAGGTACAGGTGTATTCACACTACAATGACCAGACAGGGACTGAACAGAAACACCAAACATTTATACACCAGGGACTAACGAGCAGGCGGGAGCAACACAGGTGACAGGGATCAGGACTAATGAGACAGACAGGCAGAGAGACAGCAGGGGAAAACAGAGAGGGCCTTTCCGAAACTGCTTGCTACTCCCTCTCCCTACCTACTTCCACTCCGTTTGCATGTTCATGTGGAGGGTCCGCCACATTGAGTGCCATCCGAAACCAATGAGGGCGGAGTGGTTGTGGGTTGTTAAACCCTCAAATGCAGAGTGAGCACCGATGCTGGCTTGTTGTAGGTGTGTAACACCCTTTGCTGCACGATGGGGGACCTTTCTTTCACATGCAAGTTCCGCGTGACTTAACATGTAGGATTTTTTAATTCCGAAACTACACTAATATTTCATATCACCATTCACAGGTTAACAACGTACCCGAATGTTATATTGTGTTTAATTAAAAAAGACTCTAGTCTGATAGACAATAAAACTGTTGTTTTTATTCAATCGTATTCATCTCATGCGAAAATCTTCAGCCAACACAAAATAGCTTACATTAAAGGACAGAATGGAACATGGCATAAATAGATACACAGGGGGATCACGTAACAAGCAACAAAGACATTAAAGAGAAATAGTCTTTATACAACTGTTTTAAATTCTTCAGACTATATAATGCTTCTATATAATATTTGATTTATATTGAAATGTTGCATTTGTGAATGCAATATTTTTCATATAAGATATAGAGGTTTAAATATATAGCCTAAGCTTTACTTTACAATGAATATCAATCTTTTCATTAAAGAATAGAGTATTTATTTTTTGTGATGTCACGTTCTTAAAGAAATATTCAACACAAATACAGACATGAAATTAATGACAATTGCTTTCAGTTCCGTTTGGGACAACACACTTTTCCTCAACATCTATCCTGATTCTTAATACAACTGTTGTTTATTTGATACACGTATTATAGCAGTGAGTAGGCCTAAGCTACAGCGGTAACTTCAGATCCTATTTACGCTGGGGGGAGAGGGTAGTTTGTCCGAAAGTTGTCCATACCCTACACGGGTTAGGGAGCTCGATTTGGCTGTGAGGGTGACTCTGACTAGAGTTTACTGAAGACCAAACACAGACGTTATCAAAATAAGACGTAACAGATCAGAATAATATAAATAATAAACTAATCCAGACACAAGGAGACAGATCACAAATAAACTACAACCAACAGGGAAAACAGACTGAAGCTAGGATTAAACAGAATGCAGAGCAGACAAAGCCGAAATAATGCAAACACAGAACGAGGAGAGACTTTAATAAGACACAGAACTAAAATGCAGTGCTAAACCTAAGATACAAGACAGACAGGTACAAATGAGCAAAACTGAACATGCAAATGAACAATGGAATAAACAAGGCTAAACAGAGAACACAAGATCAGGAACAAAACCAACTGTTACACCGAACGGGGTAGGGAACAGAGACAGGACCAACCAGGAAACAGGACAACACTAAACATGGAACAGAAATAAGTAGAAAATACCTAAACACCAGCTGACAGATAAATAATAACATCAGGTAGCAAATTATAAAGTAAGTTTAAACTAACAGAACAGCAACAGGGAGTCTAAACGCAAGGCGTTAGCAACAAAAGTGGAGTGGATAAGGGAGACAAGATAACAGGACAACACAGACAAACTCAGACAACAGACTAGGATAACAGAACAAAAGCAGATTAACACAGAATGATAATAACCAAACGGAAAACAAAAAGGTAGAGCTCACAATTAACACTAACAGACTGGACACAGGACAACAGACAGGACAGAACCCCAAAACACAACAGACTAAATATCAGATACTCAACTGACCAAAAAACCAAAACTCACAGAGTGCTAAACTTAAACATAGCCAACAGGCAGAATGTGACACACGGAGGTATATGCATTTCGTGTAAGACCACTGTGATGTCCTGTGTGTTAGCAACCATCATTCAACAATTTTGCTGGGAAAATGAAAAACAAAAAAAAAGGTACTTAACGGTAAGTTGACCGATGATCCAGGACTTGGTGTTTCCTTTAATCTCACTTCCAGAGGTTGTACTGTGCCAGTGCTGAGTGAGAACTTGCACATAGTTTGTCATTTTCCTAAAAGCTCTGTGACAGAAGTGGCCATGAATCTACAGCTAAAGAGGATCACTAGACAATGGTGTCATAACAACTTACAAGATTATTAACCAGCATACATTAGGCAAGCGGCCAAGCTGTTTTTCAGGTTCAGGCGTCCAGTGTCAGGGGCCATTTTGTTCAATACATCTCTCTTAAACAGGTTTATGGGTTTTAAACATGTTTCTTTCTTGTTGTGCACAGCTGTTTCAGATGTCAACTGGTTAGACAGATTTGATCATAAAACACCATTTATTAAAAATATATATTTAAAACCAGGCATAGGCAAAGATATATCAAAATATATTTTAAAATAAGATAATAAGATACCAAATACCCATATTTTAAGTGTATAAACTACAAAATACAAGTACTTTTCCAAGGTACTATAAAATCACTTCTCAGAGCTTCTATCTTCTATTGATCTAGCCTATCCCTTTACCGTAACTCTGACTCAGTTGATTAAGTGGACAACGTTTGAGGGCAACAGCTTTTCTCTGCTTAATGAGTCATGCGATAAATCTGACATGTAACCAATCAACAGATCAGATATTCACGTATCCCTTTGATCATCCAGATGAAGGTTAGTTTTAAAGTAACCATCTCTTTAATGTTCAACTAACAGTTTGCAATGACTCATAATTGTATCCTCATTTGGTTACTTGGTGATTTGTAATGACGGCCTCCATTGCATCATCCTGAGCTTTAACAAACAGTGGTAGATGGGTTGACGGTGTTGCAGCACAACGTTATTAATGACAATGAAAAGGCATAGTTTTCAAAAGTATTTTGATACAAAATATGAAGCTATTTTCATCAAACATATCAAATACAAATTACAAAATCCTATTTTTGTATTTTAAATGTGTATTTTGAATACATGTATCATAAATACTGCCCATCCCTGCTTATACCATTGGAGAATCCAAGGGAGTATTCTTGGAATATTGGAGGTATATTTGTACTGCATTGACTAAGTATGTCATCAAGGTAATGTAATGTCTGCTTACTGTCTGGCTGCAGCAAGCTAAAAGACTGTGTGTGTGTGTGTGTGTGTGTGTGTGTGACGACTCCACTTTCCCAGAATAAGCTAGTTGTTAGTATGTGACACAGGTTGACCTAAGACTCTCCTGTATGTGATGACGTTACATGTTTGTGCAAGTGTGTGTTTCAGTTTTTTGTGTGTATGTGGGTCCTCTGGGCACTGCAAATAACCCAACACAATCATAAAGCATGGCAGGTTGTCTGTTTCTCTCAAGCTATCACCCCGAACAGTCTCACACACAGTGACACACATATATTTGCTGTGTTGTTGTACCTCTGTGAGGACTGAAAATGTAAGATTAACTTTATCGTTAAGCTAACAGGAGCGAACAACATTCTTTACAGCCATGGACAAGGTGAAGTAAAACTTATCTTATTGTAACAAGTTTTCAGTTGCTTCCTGAAGGGTCAGAAACAGGGAGGTGGATAGAGAGTAAAGAGAATTGCAATGAGGGTGACAATGAGAGGTATATCTTGGGGCTGGAAACTCAAGGTCAGTGTAGATACAGACAAACACAAACATGCCCCAAAGCCCACAGACTCATATACTCACAGGTACGCACAATAAAAGACACCCTCAAGGTGTTTAACACCAGCTCACTTCCTTTATTTGTCTTCTCTCTTTTTTTGTCTCTTTTAGACTGCACTTTTTCTTCTGGTTTGTGATCAGCATTAGTGTTTGTGGGTGCAAGCCAACCAGGCTAATAGCATGGCTAAAGTTTTTCTTTCCCTACTTGCCGTCCTAACCTTTCTCCTGTCACTCAATCTCTCAGTTTTTAGTTCTGCGTAAGTAGATGAAAAGTATCCTATTTCCGTGGCGGAACAACGACCAGCGCAAGCGCTCTGACAGTTTGGTATTTTTCTGACCTTGAAATTCACTTTGCCCATCTGTGTGTGTTTTGATAGCAAGCACTCTGTGCAGAGGTTGGAGGAGAGCTGAAAACAGGTGGGAGGTTCATTCAAGTGAAATGGCACATAGTGAGTTGGTATCTTAGTGAAAATGGCTGTTAGATGTTAAACATATCAGAACACCATCTGTTTGGCGCGTCAACAAGATAAAAACTAAATTGTTGAAACAGATGTGCGGAAATGAGGAATACTGCTTTAAATATGAATAAACCATTTTAATTAAACATTTTTCAGTTCATGCATTTTTTCAACTTCCTAGCCGTCTAAAAGTTCTTGTGTAAACACTTTTCTGTGTTGCTGTTATTACAGACATGTCTGAGCTAGCTGCTACACCTCAACTCACTCATGGACTCGCCTCTTCTGTTGAATCGTGACATATAGTCTGTGTTCGTCAAGGGCTTATTGGAAAGGAATGGCCAAAATTCAATGAATATTGCAACAACAGTATTAGATGTTGTTTTTTTTTCTTCTTAATCTACTGCACTTATCGTAACATATGAAGGATCTGTTGCAAGGCTGGATTTTTTGTTATAAGCGTAGTTATAAATGTCAGTCCGATTTTTAATACATTTTTATTACTTCTGAAACAGCGCCCAGAAGTTCACAACAGCTCTCTATATGCACAGTAATGAGAGCACAAGCTAGAAACTTATCTAACACATTCACTCAATTTGGAAAGGACAGATACCAATAGATCAAAAGAGAATAATGTATAAAATATATTTAGAATAATTTGCCTCCACTTTCACAGACTCTATGAAAACACGTTTCTGACCGAACTTGGATTCTTCCACATCACCCTTAGCCGGTGGTATTGGTATCAGATCCATAGTGTTAAACCGTAGACGTGGTATAGTTGCATAGTCTGTTTAGTGGGTTTGTCATAGTTTCCTGGTAGATTCTTAAGTACTGTAACAATATGTTTTATAAATATCGAATAATAACAATTCTCCCCATTGACCCTGCATGAATTTTCAGCTGATAAAGGGCAATATAACCTAGCTAATGCTAAGTATTTAGCTAATGCTAAGTATTTATTTTTTTCATAAAATCCCTTTATGTGTTATTCTTACTCTTGTTATTCTTATTATTTTCTGCTTATTCACAGATACCATCACACTTGTCCATTGCATATATTTTCCTATAACTGTATTAAATTCCTGGTCAGTGTGGTTGTAAAAAGACAGTGGAAAGAAATGTGTTCATCATTGTCGGTTGTATGTCTACCAGTAATATTTCACATTAACATATTCAATTACTCAATTGTTTGACTTTATTAAAAGATCTGATCATAGATTATGGTCTATCTTCCAGTAATTGAAATATCATCTTTGTCTCCAATCAACAATATTACACACAGTTACTAGTTCAATGTCTTTTGTCTGGTAATATGAAAGTCTATATATTTTTCAAGCTTTTGGAAACGTAATTTTCCCAGTGGTATGACATACTGGATAGATGGCCCTTCCCTCTTTCAAATGCTTTCATCGAATCTGCCACTCTGCCATTCGAATGCATTAGTTTAATTTAACCTTCCCTGCTGACCCAAAATGGTGTAAGGAGAAACCATTAATATTCTGCTTAGGGGATGCCAGTGCTGTGAAATGTTTGGGTTTGCAGAGCAGATTTCACTGCACACAGATGCTTCTATAGTAAGGCATCTTTGTACTGTTTACTCAATGTGTGCACGTGTAGCTACATTTACACGTGCTGTATGCACCCAAGTAGACAACAAAACTCTAGTGACTCTAGAGTATTTTGTGAGAAACAGGAACAGCAAAAGACAATAGCAAGTTGACAGATATAAAATAAATCAGATATGTTCAAAGTAAAAGACAAAATACAACATAGCACATGCCACTCTAGATCTGCAGCTGAAATGTGATCAGTCAGATCATTAAGGAAGGATGGATTGCTGGCTGAATGGTTTGATTAATGATGGATAGATTTAGAGTGGGCTTATTCTTGATTTTGCTTTCCCATATTATACATGGTGAAAACTTAAGCAAAAACCTATTTTAGGAGATTTAATGCTGTGCCACTATGTGTAGTATAGTGTTCTGGACAGCAACTATGTGGCTAATGAGCATACACCGAAGCACACATGAATAAACACAAAAAAGAGGATGTATGCTAAATGCTGATGAGTCATTCCCTCTGAGCCGTGACAGTTAGTACTTCAGAGAGTAACAACATCAAAAACCACCGTCAGTGCAATATCTGTACTTGTAAGCAAGAGGGGGATGTTCAAAAGTTATTCATTTTGTTTCCAGTTTTGACCTTTTATTCTCCACGTGTCTTTGTAATCCCAAATATACTGTATTGAGAGCATTAACCATGCAGTTAGACAAAAAGGTTCATTCAAAATGGAGAAAGTGCAATAACAGGTAGTAACATTTAGCTTCGGGCACTACATTTAATTAGAACACAGGTTAGCTTACTGCAGTTCAGGCAGTTCATAACTGCAAAACAAACAAAAGTGTTTGTTTATGTTTTTCACCTATCTCACTGAATGATAACTGATTCACGGAGACCTTTCTTCTGCACAGCACAAACAGGAGATTACATTTTAGAGACTTAAAGAGATTTAAGTTTAAATAGCATTGACATTGTCAAAATTAGCAGTAACTCTATGAAATTCCCATATTGTAAGAGTGGTCAATGTGACAATGCTGCGATATATGTGAAAGGGGACAGGACACATTGTGAGGACCTCAGGGACTAGATCCCTGACTCTGCTGACGCTGAACACATCTGACAACTGGAGATGGATTCTGAACGCAAGTGGTTAGATAATACTAGCCACAGGAAAGCTGTGAGTTCAAATCCCAGAGCGTGAAAAAACGTCAAACTGTCACTATCAGTATTGTCATCACTTGTAATTAAATTGGCTGTAGGGGTGATGTTGTGGGTTCCAAACTCACAAGATCAGTAGAGCTTGTCAGGGTGTATGTATGTGAACTTTTAATGTGTGTGTAGGCCTGTGCATGTGAGACAGCATAGTGAAAATAATGTCTGATGGCATCTTTAACTTTTGTGTAGGTATGCGGATCTTGGTGACCCTGCTGTTGGACACACTGCCCATGCTGGGAAATGTGCTTCTTCTCTGCTTCTTTGTCTTTTTCATCTTTGGCATTGTGGGAGTCCAGCTGTGGGCGGGGCTGCTGCGCAACCGCTGCTTCCTGGGAGAGGACATCAGAACGTAAGGAATTTGGCTTGTGATAAATTATTTGCATTTCCCCCAACCAGAAAAAGTCTACTTTCCATACTTCTTTGCAAGTGCTGTTCTCCACATCCATATGGTGACCAGCACTGCCTCCAGCATACACCCATGAAATTTTCTAACATGCTCAGCTCACTTAACTCGAACATGAACTTTCTTTCTTTCTTTCTGCCCTTTTCCTACTCTCCTTCTGTTTTACATCCGTCTTCCCTTTTCTCTTTCTGCTTCTGTCTTGTTAGAGTTTGTGTTGAGTTGGCATAGCGTGTAACAGTCAGCTGTTACCTGTAGAAAAAGTACAGAAATTATAACTTGTTACAGTACACAAACTGCGTAGCGCCCTCAGGATGTAAACCGCCGTATGGCCTCACACACATACAGGGAGAAGCAAGGAGAGGAAGAGATAGACAGAGATAAATGTAGATGTGGAATGAGATAAGGCTGTAGTCTCAGCCCTATGTTATTACATTTTTGTCACATTTTAACGTGCTTATTAATTAGAACAGTCCAGTGCATAAGTTCTAAAACTTACATGAAGAAATATAACTTTTCTTCTTTGCAGATGATGTGATTCTCGTGTCTTACAGTTTTTCTCCATTGCTTAAACACTATAAGCAGGCTTTTAAACTAAAATTTCAAAACCATAACACCCTTTTTCCTAAACTCTACCTACAAATTCCTTAATTTCTCATTGCCCGCACCATGTGGTCATTTAGAAAGCACTAACATTCAATATTGTTCACTCAGTTCAGTAAGAGAAGAGCAACAGCCAAACAACCACTATCTCCCAAAGAAGACAAACAAGGCACAGGCACACATGCACAGACATAGAAAAGATCAGAGTCACCAATTTAGCCGTAGGGATTGAAATTATGCAAAACAGAAAGAAAAACTGCCTCAGTGTCCACAACCTCAGGAAGCCAAAAAATGTCATTTGGACACCCCTGAACTAATTCTGTTTTTGATATAATTGTACAAATATGTACCAGAGTTAATGTCGCTTAATCCTTTTTTTGTGCAAGAGACAGAAAGAGAACAGCAGCTTAATATTTCATAGCCAAGGCTGCTGTGCTTGCTCTCACAGATCAAATGATAGTCTGACCCCCAGAACAATATGAATTCAGACCATCCTATGTGATAGTGATGTAGCATGTGCATGTGTGTGTAGTCCCATGCATTAGCTCTTTCTCCAGTTAGTTTTCTGGAAATCATAGATTTTTTTCTGCCTCTCAGATGTTTCCCATGATATGCCTTTTTTTGTTGCGTTATATTAATGCTGCTGCTGGACATCTTTCAACAAACAAAATTATTTTCTGTACTGGCAATAGATTTCATCTAGCCACAAGGTAGCACTGTGATAATTTACTGTGTTAACTCAGAGAGAGGAACTCTTACTTTATGTTATCATGAGGCGGAAAATAAATGACTAGCACTAGCTAGCTGTTCATCATAACAATGTGTCTTCATTGAAAAGAAATGGACATTACAGTAGTCTTTAACATACTCTGCATTATTGTTTGCAGCTGTATTTTGGTTTTTGAGTTACTTATAAGACATAAGGTTCATCTACCCCATTAGTCAGTTGTTCGGAGGATTTATGATTGGAGTAGAAATCACAGATTGAGATGTTGTGGAAGAAGAGAACACACAGTGTAGATGGATTGTGAAAATAGTGTAGTAGTTGGTTGTTATTGCTGGATGTGTTTTGTGACAAATTCAAAGATAACATCATGTGTGCCTATTTAATAAGATCACTGATCTATCCACTCTTATTAGTTACACTCTTTGCTAACATCTAATCCAGGTTTCCATTTTGGAAATCAACGCAAATAATACAAGGGATTATCTGATCCTGCTTTTTGGTGAATGGCACAATATGTTTTCTCAGTGCAAGAAATGCAAGCAATGTTTTTTAATTTTCTTGGAAAGCAAAATGTTTTTTATCTGTCACAGTCAAGGTCCTGGGGAGAATTTGTGTATTTCTCTTTTCTGTAAAAGTACTGCTAAACATTAAGACAATGACTAACCCATCTCTGAATTATTACAAATTTGTATGATTTAGATGAAATCACTTTGCTGCTTCTAGTCACATGTATTCTGTATATTTGATTTTCTTATTATGTGAAACTAGTTCATTCATCACAATGGATCAGTCAGTTATTAATATATTGCTAATGTATCCTATTACTGACTTTCCATAAAAAACAAGCAGCAAAAAAAGAAAAGGGCTTGAGAGATATTTAAAAGCTAAGCACATAAATAATTAATGTATTGTAACAACATATCCATTTGTTTTTGTTATTCTTTGTCCAACCAGAATGTACAACTTGTCCATAAGTTCTTACTACATGTCTGAGGAAGGTGAAGACAGCCCATTTATCTGCTCGGCTCCCCGCGAGAACGGGATGCTGCGCTGCCACGATGTGCCGGCCTACACTGAGGGTGGGGCAGAGTGCTCATTGGCTGCTTCCCACCAAACTTCAGCTCTGATTGGATCTTCCCCTGCGTTGGGCGGGGCCAGTGTTAATGGCTGTGTTAACTGGAACCAGTACTATAATGTGTGTCGCCCCGGGGACTTCAACCCTCACAAGGGAGCTGTCAACTTTGACAATATTGGCTACGCGTGGATAGCCATATTCCAGGTAAGAAGGGATGAATGTGCAGATATGGATGTGGAAGGAAAAACATGCTCTCCATGTTGCTCCAGGGTGTTCAGAATGTATCATCTTTATAAGATTTTGTAGATTTTGGTTTAAGTTGATTTGCGCTCTATTGCACCTATAACCACACCCAACAGTGATGTCAGAGGGTCCTGGAGTAAACTTGGACATAACTGAAGCTAGGTGAAAAGTTGGAGGTCAGCAAAACAAGATCTTCAGGGGGTGTTTAAATTCGTCATTATATCAGCAAAGACGCTATAGCTCGGCTGACTTTTTTTTAAGTGAGCTACATTTGGTAACATTCATACAGAAAGTTATACAAATTGAGTTAAGTCAAATACAGAATATGTGACCCTTGTTTTTAGCAGAATTGCATGGTTTGGGGAAGCCCCATTTGTAGGAAGCAAGATGAGTTTTTAAAAACCCAAGCTATCAAAGAGATTGTGCTATGTAGGAGTCTAAACACTAGCTGCTATTGCATGCATTAGCTGTTTAAAAGTGAAGGACTTGAGCCGGTCACATATGGCAAAACAGTTAAAATTCTATTAGTTACATACAAAAATAATTCAAAAGTCATCAGTCAAAAACAACACAAAATTGGCATTTTTTAACGTGTGTCATGCTTTAAGAAACTCCCCCAATGAGGCCATCAGAGGGCATGCGTCTTGACCTGAAAGCCACTTCCTCTTCACTCACTGGTTGTATGTAATGTATTTGTCTTTATTCCTCTTGCTGATTCCAGCTCCCCCAGGAGCTGTGACACGCTTTTCCCTATCATGGTCTTTGTGCTAATGCTGTCTGTACCATTGAGATATGAATTCCATCCATTTTAATAGATCTGTCCAGGACCCACGGAGAAATCTGTCTCTGTGTTTAATAGACTTTGACTTGCACAACATGACTTTCTCAAAGAGTCTTACCTTCAAATTACCCCAAACAGCACAAATACTGAAGACACGCATGCATGCATGCACGCACGCACGCACGCACACTCACACACACAAACAGACATACTAATCCCTGTTAGACACACACACACTGGAAAGTGTGTGTGGTCTCAGCTTGCAGTCAGAGGCAGATTTTTGTCTTTTGTGATGCTTTAGCAAGATTCACTTTCAGTCTTAGATGAGATTAGTTGTTTTAGCCAGGTATATGGAATCGGTGAAAAGTGTGTGTGTGGTAGATGATAATTGGAAAAGTTGTATGCATTTAGGTTGGGTTTAGTGGCCAGGTACTACTCTGTCAGGAGGAAAATAAAAAAATTTATTTATAACATAATAGAGAAAAGCTCCATACAGATGGAGAAAGATGTAAAGTATGTTAAAATAAAATGAAGGCTACATTGAATGTTAAATGAGTTGCTTGTCTTGTCTTCCCAGTCTACATCTGTATTCCCTCAGTATCTGTAAATATAAAGAATGTGAATTATACATCTCAGAGCAAGGTTTTGAAAACATTTCAGCCCGTCGTTGCAAATTGAGTTAATGCAGGGTTACGCAGGGACTCCTGCTGACGTGGGTACACACCACAGCCAAGCCTGTGGCTTAATTAGGTCCCACCCAGGGTTTGGCCATGCATCAAATATACCATGACGACTTCCCGTGTTGGTATCTTCTATTTTGCTAATTGGAAATGTAGTCAGCGGTAAGACTGAAACTTGTGTTTACTGTATGTTTGCTAAGGGTTCGTTATATTGTTTTAGAATCAGCAAAAAGGTAGTTTGAGACAGACATTTTATTTGTATGGGATTTGTTATATTTTTTTCTTGACTGCAGGGCTTACACTAGAATTCAATAATACGTGATAACAACTGATTTTAAAGGAGAATGTCACTCAAACCCAGTCCTGACCCATGGGTCAAGAATCAGGTAATGGCCTGACCTCTGTCACCAAGGAGCGCAAAAAGACAAGAGCAGAGCTGAGAGTGAAGGAGTGATGAAAATAAAATGTGTGAGTGGAAGAAATGAGAAAGATGGAAGGGATGACATGTATGAAGAGTTAGAGTCGAGAGATAATGGATGACTAGAAGAGGGAAGTGAACTTATGGGTTATCTGGCCAATGTTTCTGTTAACCTACAGGTTAATGGCTATCGACCGTGTACAACCATACACACACACACACACACACACACACACACACACACACCTGTTCTGCCAGACTGTCCATTAGCAGTCAAGTACAATGTGCCAGTTAATAAGTCATTCACCAATGACAGCGGAGAACTCGCTCTCTGCTCCACACGTATGTCATTAGCATGAATTACAGTTTGCTGGCTATCTCTGATCTTCAAGGTGGGTCAGGAGCTGAGGATGGAGGTGGTCAGAGAGTGATTTGTTGAGGGTATCGCATCTGTCTCCTCTCTTAAGTAACGTCAGATGAGAACCTTCTCTTTCCTGTGATCCATATCACTGACCTCTACAAAATGGCTTTGCAGAAGAATACATCTTGCAATATGTGCTGCTTGATGGTCCTTTGTGATTTGACATTTCTTCCATTTTGATAAAGAACATATGTACTTATTGCTGATACACATAAAAAAATCCATTTCTTATTGAATTGTATGAATGAGGGACCATTTATTTAAGTCTGTATTGTGAAATTGCCGGCTGGGATGGTTGTTGGTTTGTCTTCTTCTTTCCAGTTGTTATGTTAACTACCAGATTATTAGTTTGATTGACTAAATATATGTTTGTGTTTGTTTATATAGAATAAAACTATTGATTTTATTTTACAGGCATGTTTCAGCTCAGTAACGGGGATCCTCTGCTATTTTTGGTGCAAGGAGAGCAATCCAGTAGAGAGCGGATTAGTCGGTTCTGGGTCAGGAATGCATGCATGCACATGCCTGTTGGCATGTGTGTTTGGACACTTGTTTAGTCTGTGCTCGCTCATGCCATTGTTGTGCATGCTCTCACAGTTTATGGTGGACCGTGTTATGCTAGCTGAGGTGTAAATCTTGAGGTTTGAGTTTATTATGGGCTTGGCTGGCCTTAGCCACCGCTTTCAGGTCTCAGCATCTCAACTGCTCATTAGCATAGTGGGCACATGAAAGAGCTGCGTCAGTCCCCTGGCACACACACACACACACACACACACAAATAAGAAGTTGGAGGGACACCACAGGCTTTCTTCTGAGGACTAGCCATTAAAAACAGAATTGGAAATGTATTGCATCTGACGGCTTTGTGCTTTTATGTCTGTGTGCGTCCATGCGCACAGTTTTGTGTGTGGGTGTGTTTGTCATATGTTTTTTTAAGAAAAAGCTACGTTTTTCTACTTTTCCGTTCATTATAACACAATGTCTCTTTCTCTCTGTGTCTTTTTGTCTCTGCCACCAGGTCATCACACTGGAAGGATGGGTAGATATCATGTACTATGTCATGGATGCTCACTCCTTCTACAATTTTATATATTTTATACTGCTCATTATCGTAAGTACCCCCTTGTATTTTCTTTTTGTTTTAGTTAACAACCTTTCCTGAGATTTTGAATTTGTTGCTAAGACTCAAGAAGCAAGCTCCAAAATAGCATCAAAATGAATTTTAAAAATTTAAAATTTTGATTGGGTCCAAAAATATCTTGCGCCAGATCTATATGGACCAACATGGGTCTTGTTTGAAACTGATCTAGGCAAAAACCACACTGAACTCAAAACTAACTGCAATACACATTTCATTACACAGTCTGCAGCATTGTGTTTGAATGCTCAACAAATATGCATATGTAAAAAGTATTTTTGTATTTTCAGTCCTGCTTTGGAAAACTCAGAATAACCTTTATAAAGTAAACCACTAAACTCTGCTTGGAGTATAACTCCCCTCTGTTGAACCTTGCGGACTTCTTATCGTGGATAATTTCACTCTCATCATGCTGTTGTGGAGGTTTTCAAAGATCACGGCTTCGACTATATTTTACAGTACTGTAAGAGCTCCCCGCCTGCCTGTCGTTTGAAGTAAAAGTGCTTATTATGCATTCAGAGGGAGAGAGAGGGGGAACAACTGGGGGAGAGACGGGACTAGAGGAAGGCTGAAAGTAAATCAAAGTAATTCATATAGAAAGTGAGTGAGACAGAAATTAAGATAACTGAGCATGTCAGAGAAAAGAACTTTAAAAAGATGGAGAAAGTAATTTCCTGTCACTCTTTCAGTAATGTACAGTAATGGCATGGTAAATAGACATTTCACTATAGACTTTCCTGTCAATGCCACCTCATCAGAACATGATTTAAATTTCATAATTTTTAAATAATGATAAAAATAAAGTTAGTTTTATCATCCCAGGATCTGGCCAAACAAGCTCCGTCTTAATAATAGACAAGCCCTGATATGGCTGCTTATTGACACTGTGTTTTATTACACTTTTAACACCTTAAGGAGGAATGAAGTCAACAGTGAGTTGTTCCATAAATAAAATATTGATGAAGGTGATGTAACAGCGTTGAGTGTTGTGTGTATATATATATATCATTACAAAGCTGCATTGCTGCAGTTTTATCACTCTAGCCATTCTTTACTTCCCCAACCAGGTGGGTTCTTTCTTCATGATCAACTTGTGCCTCGTGGTCATCGCCACCCAGTTCTCCGAGACAAAGCAGAGGGAGAACGCCCTGATGAGGGAGCAGCGTGCTCGCTACATGTCCAACGACTCCACCCTCGCCAGTTACAGCGAACCGGGCTCATGCTACGAGGAGATGCTACGCTACATCAGTCACCTTTATCGCAAGTTAACACGCAGACTCCAGAGGTTATACTCTGGATGGCACAGGTTAGAAATGGGCTGTTTTGTTTTTCTCTGTCCAGGAAAATCCAGTCAAATATAGACGACATGAAATGAAGGCAGTCCATCCATCCATTCATCTACCATCAAACGCTTATCTGGGGTCGGGTCACGTGGGAAATGAAGGCAGTATTTTTTTTTACAAAGGGCTACAAAGAGTTGCCACTTATGAGTGGCAGTAATAAAACAGGAAAAGAAAACCTCTCAGTACCTGAGGCATCAAAACATTTGTTTGGGACCTGTACTGGACTTATTTTGCATATGCTTGTAGATTCTTTGTGATATTATGAGGATGACTGTCAAAAACCTGGAAAAAATGTATTGAAATTATAATAACCCTTTTGCCCCCAGGTTAAATTAATCATGGCTTTCCCAGCACTAAGACTGGTCCTCCTGTGTCCATTTGCATCACTGGAGGAGTACCTGTGTTTGGTTATGAGCATTTAATAATTGTATCAGTAGGCTTTGGTAGTTTTGCATCTCACAGAATTACATATTGCATAGCCCACCAAATTATTAGAGATACATCTTACAACTTTATATAAACCTGGTAATAATACGATCTCTATCCACATTATTTATCATTATTAATGTCTCTTGTCCTTTGACCAGTAAAAGGCGTAAAAAGGTGAATCCTAATGGCAGCGGCGGAGGCAGTAACGGCGGGGGTAATGGACACGGCCATGGTTCCAGCAGGGGCTGTGGTGGCTTAGGTCCGGGTAGTGCATTGTGGTTGAGACCGATCCATAACCTTCTGCAGCACCATCAGCACCAGCACTGCCGCCTCAGCAACGGAGGGCAGCACACCATCAGCGTGGAAACCACCGAACACATGGACGGAGAAAGAGGGGTAGGAGGAGGGGAGGAGCTGGAGATGAAGTCGCTTCCTGTAAGGAGAGGGAGTACTAATGGAAATAGCAGCAGTGGCGGCGGCCATCCGTCTGGTTTCACCCAAGGCATGGGGGCATTGCTCGGGCGACTGAACGGGGGGATGAACTATCCGACCATTCTGCCGTCGTTTGTGTGCAGCTACAGTAGTAAGACGCCGCCCCCTCACTCCCAGCAGTGTGGTCCCAGTCCAGAGCAGCACCCCCCAAACCACCCAGCATCTGAACACACAGAGACACTGAACAAGCTCCACCAGCTCATGGGACAGCACAGTAAGAGAGCTCACACACACCAACTGCACAGACACATACATACTCCTTACATGGAGACAGAAGCTGTTAACAACGTTTAGGTTCCTGAAGAGACGTTTTACTAGGGTTTACTCGTTAACACCTTTTTCCTAGCCAACAATGTGGAGCACAAGTCAGCTTAAGGAAGCGGCAACCACCTTGTCTGAGTGTGACAACTTGAGTCACATAATAACCAAATAAACTGCTTTTTTTAGGGCTTAATAATCCTGTTTATCATCTTAGCATTGAATAATTATTAGAGTAATTTTCATATTTTTTATGTTGCCTTGTTTATTTCTCGTTGTTCTGTTAAGTTTCACTGTCCTTTAATTAGCCTTCACAATCTGAACTTGACGCTCTGGATTTCCCTTGAGCTCCATTGTGTTTTTGTCATCACACTCGTTTTTTTGTCTCCTGTTATCTTCTTGATTTCTTACTCAAATGAAACCTCTGTCCTCTTCCGTATTGTAAAGGCACGTAAACAAAAACACAGGTATCCGGTGTAGTTTCAGATCTGGAAGGAAAGGCTAAGGAAAGTGAGACAGTGATAAAAATAAATTAGTTCAATAGAGAGAAAAGAGCAGAGGGAGAAGGAGGAAAAAGGGAGGGAAAAAAGAGTACAGAGCACAGCGACAGAGAGGAGACAGCATAAAACTGTGTTGGTTGCAAAGGAAACTGAAAAAGCAGCGGCAGTATGATACACTCGTCTGCTCTGTCCTAATGGAGTGAGTCTGCCAACAAGCAGACACACACACACACACAGACCTTTACACACTTGTGGCTGCCGACACTCCAAACAGTTATTGTGTGACACGTGATGGATACAGGAAAGACAGTAATGATGAATGCTGAAAAAAAGAAGAAAAAACCCCACTTGTTAAACTGTCAATACACCTCCTATCTGCACATAGTCAATATGATTCCTTTGGAGAGTGAGTGTAACACCTCTGCTACTAATGTGTGTTGAAGATCACACATTTTAAATTTACTTTAATGGATGGTGATTGAATGGTGTACAGCTGACTAAAAGTTAAACTCTAAATGGGAAAACGCAGTCTGGAGTCACTGTGGGACATTCCTGGATGTGTAGTTTCTAAATGTTTGCTTTCAGCTCAGTCAGATGACTCAATCTCGAATAAACCTTTTTGAATGCTGTTTTTGGTTGAGTAGCCCCTTTATACTAAGAGCACCAGTGACAGCACAGATGAATATTTTTCAAGTCTCAAATCTAATTTGAGCACACATGTAATCTAATCTAACTTAATGTAATATAAAGTAACGTGGGGTTGGGATGAACTTGAACAAGCTTTTTGCCAGACAAATGTTTTGTCCCTCAAAGGAACTTGCTTAAAAAAAGTTCTAAAATGAAAACAAGTGGAAAGATACAGAAATGTGTTTATAGCAACGGTATTCAAGAGATTAGGAAAGATACAAATGATCACAACCTTTTTTATAGCTTGAGGTATTAGATAGCATTGTACACAACATAATGTGCTGTTGAAGCTGCTTTTGAAGAGCTGATGCTTCCAGAAGTCATGTTTTGTTTTTATTAGTTTTTCAGCTTTGCAGATCCTCCATACTATCTTTAATAGTATGTAGTCAGAGAGCAGAGGGAGAGAGGAGTCAGCCATGATCTCGTACAGCACTGTGGGCGAGCTCGCAGTACTCTCTGCGGAAACCAGCTGGTTTTGGTTCTTTACTGAGAGACGACATCCCTTCAGAACTGCATGCTAAATTTTACTTACATTATATTCTTGTAGCTTTATCATTATACCATAATGGCTTCCTGTCTTTGTCTCTCTCTTGACCTAGTGTGCTGGGTTTTTTTTTTAATAAAGCATTATACAGTTCTTCCTTTCTTTGACATAAAAACAAGTGTTTTAGCCTGTTTTATGACAATGCAAAGATTATATTATTATGGATTTAAAAAAGGTACGTAAGTGTATACACCCAAGGGTGTAATTTCCACTAGGATGAGGGGGACATGTCCCTCCTATTTTTGTCCCCCTTGCTTTTGTTGTTCAGTTTTATTGTTGTTGTCTAAAATTTCCTGCCAAGTGTCAAAATGAGATAGGTGGAAAGTTGATAAAAACTCATCAAAGTCACCTTCAATAATCCGGTGCTGGCAGCGATAAGTTTAATGAGTAGCAGCAAGTGCGTTGCAGCGAATCGCAGACTTTTTTTTGCCCTGTGTTTCACCTCTCAGGGTATCCTCTTACTATACCCCTTTTATGTGATGTTGTTTACAAAATAATATTGGATTTTGAGATATTGTTATAATATCCATAAAGATATGAAACCACTGTCCCCCAGAAAGCAGAGCTTAAAAGTGTGCACCTTTGGCTTGGACCAAGTGTTAATTGATTTTTGCCACAAAAAAATGTTTGCATTTAGTTTCTCACAGTGGAAAATAGTGCAACAGGTGAAAGTCTGATGAAAAATGAACTTTTAACATTGTCTTGCTCAGTTAAGCTAACAGCAGCAGTGCAGGACAGCTAGGAATAACCTCTTTGCAGTGTCTGACTGTCTCCTACCCCTTTCCCCCCGCAGGACGCCAGAGGCTGCTGTACCAGCTGGCCGGCGTGGTGCCCAGCCCTCTGCTCTTGGAGCTGCTTAGCTGCCCTCTGTGTGCCCATAGCCTGGAGACCTTGGAGCTGGAACTGGGAGACCTGGAGGGAGGCAGGGGAGAGACTGACGGACTGCACGACTTCCCCCAGGTCAGAATGCACAGGGGTGCATTAATGATGATGGTAAACAGTGAGGATGAAGTTTGTGGAAGTGGTGATGTGGCGTAAATGATGGTGGCCACATACAAACTCATATATCTGTTAAAACAAGGCAAGATATTATTTTTTGAAGGACTTGCATTTCAAAGTGTTATTATCCAAATACCATTATTTATAGTTTAAAGTTATTATTTTATTATTATTTTGTATATCTTCTAAAACTGCAGTAATTACTAAATAAACATGTTATTGTATCCAATCCCCTGAATCAGCATTTTCGCCTTTGGTGCCTCACTTTACTTTGCTCTAGGGGGGGGACCTGAGAAGTGGGCGAGGTCGGAGCAGACAGCGGGGGGTTGTGGAGTACAAAAATGGAGTGGTTTGGGCCTGGAGAGGTTTCAGGGAAAAACTGAAGAGGATTGTGGAAAGTAAATACTTCAACCGAGGGATCATGATCGCTATCCTCGTCAATACTCTCAGCATGGGGATTGAGTACCACGAGCAGGTAAGAATAATGAGATGTAGGGTGAATGAACAGTTCAGATCAGTGATTGAAAACTAAAAGGGCTTCGGCTGACCTTCAGAGAGAAACAAGTAGTTTGATGAGAACTGTTTGCTGCCAGACGCGGCCTTTGTGTGTGAAAATGACATTTGGCTATCTGAGAGTCGAAATGACAGCAGGGGGAGGAGGCGGGGTGGACAGGGGTGAGGGAATGAAGGAAGAGAGGGGAGGAGCGGAGGAGCCGTGCCCACTCTCTCCCTCTTCCTCATGCACAAATACACATCAAGGCACTGTCACACACGCTCCCAGATTATGTTTCTAGTTTACCCTGTGTGGCCCACATCTGGGAAGTATCCGGCTAATAATACAGCTCCCCCCTTTGCTCACTCCACTGTCACACACTCGGACAAATCTGTGTGGTTGCATATACACATTCATCTACAGAGTTTTTACACCCAAGCATGTATATTATATATGTACACACAAACACAGGCACACAACCTTTTCATTTCCCACCAGTACAGCAAAGGAAAAAAACCCCAAAGAGAAGATTCTTTTGCATGCGCACGGTCCATTCCCTCCTTTCCCTTCTCTGTCTCTAATTCCCTCTCTAGGGGATGTGTGTGTGTGTTTCTATCTTTGTGGTATAAACATTAGAAGCGACTGGGAGAGCCATGGCCTTATTGGGCCAATAACACACACACACACACACAGACTTAAGTGTTATGTAAGAGTTCCTCCTCCCCTCAGTACTCATCATTCCCCTTATGTGACACCTAGCCAAACTTTTATGAGACTATGAGTGTGTGAAGAGGTGTATGAATGTAGGAGGCATAGTGTAGACAGTGTGTGTGTGTGTGTGTGTGTGTGTGCGTGACAGATAGACAGGAAGTGAGAAAGGTAGAGAGCGATTTAGAGAAAGAGGGAGATGATTGAGGCTTGTTTAGGCTCTCCTTACGTTGTGACTAATTCTAGATTGGACATGGATTGCTGTTATCGAATCCGCGTGTAGGTAAAAGCCCACATGTGAACTGAGCTGTGAAAATTGATTTCCAGTACATCGTCTGGTAACTTTAATCAGATTATAAACTGTCCTTTACTTCACACACGTCACAACACACTGACGTTACAATGAGAGTATCAATAGTTGGCCTTGCCTTCAACATAAAAACGTGGCTCCGAGTAAGATTATGTTTGGGAAACAAATCAGATTTGCCTGCAAGCTGAATGTAACATTTTTCCGGAAGTATTAAAAGCACACACAGAAGAAGAAAGGAATGCACAATGTAGAAAAGCTTTAAGCTAAATGTGTGCTATTCTAAATGTGTGCTATTCACAACTGAAAGATCTGACAGGCAACTTTTCTACACACTTAATCCTGGAAAACACTCATGAATGATAAGTTTAAGCAACACACAGTAAATCCTCAGTCCTGAGTGTGTATTTGAGTGTAATGGTCATTTTGTTGGAGGTGTATGCATCATATCCCTGCTTCTAAATATACATACTGTATATGCTAAGATATACTGTATGATTTTGTCCACATAATTACATTTGGTGTTTTTTCAGGACTGTTTTTATTAATGTGTCCTGCTTCAAGTCATGGCTGTTCCCCTACCCTGCTTTGCCAGAGAAGCTGCGCTTATATATATGTGGATGTTTATCTCTGTTGTGCCTCATATTCTTAAGGGCAAAGACATATGCTGAGATGTATTCAAATACCCAAACACTTAAAACGTAATCCTGCAGGCACTGACATAGTATTTAATTCTGATTGATTGCCTGTTCTGTCAAACATAATGATGGCAGTGGAAAGCAACCTCTAAAGCAATTGTTCAGAATGCTCATTTGGGACGATAGTAGATTACATAAAATATATTGACATATGGTTAAGAGCTTCTTAATTTAATTATTGTGAAACCACTCAGTTACTAATGATTATGGCAATCTAGAAATGCTACCATAAAATAAAGTCCAGCATGGGATAAAGCTGACAACTCAAGGGCACCTTGAGGGGATTTATTGTGAAGAGTGAAGAGTGTTTCTTTGAATTCCCTCCACATACATTTTTCACTGGCTGCAGGAGTTGAATAGAGCCTGCTTCTCTAACCCTTGAACTTGACCTGCTCTTGAACTTTTACTTCCTTACACCTTATTGTCCATCATGTTTTCAGCCAGAACGGGAACAAGAATTTATTGTGTTCGGTTAATTTAGTTTTACGTTAAACATCAGAACAAAACCAGAGAAGACTTTGGTGTATGAGTATTGATAGTCCATGAAAGCTCATTAAGTTGTTTAGCACTTCAAACCTTCAGCGTTTGTATTGTTTTAACCTGCTTTGGCAGCCATGTAGCGCTCTCCCCCTCTCAGCACACTGAAAAGCAGTAATTCTAGCAGGTATAAAAACTGCTGTGTAGCATTGTATGGAAATTATTGCACTGCAAGCCCCAGTGTGCTCTTTCATTTCTCTGGAGTGAAGACAGTGGGCCGCAAAAGTATTGAAAATGCCACTAGTCCTCTATTAAATAATAATGTGTGTGAGTACAGTATTGTGACTGCTTAAGTTGCTGGCTGAGAGCTCTTTTAAAGCATTATTAAAGTGCTTTAAAGATTTTATGTGCTGGCTGGTCAGTAAAAGACAATTTGGACAAACAGCCAGGGCAGCAAACAGCTAGTCTCTCTATTGTCGGTCCAGCTCTTTCTTTTGTTTTCCTCACCGTGGACACCACAGGTTTTGTTCAAGTCCCCTGACATTACTTCTGCATGCTTTTATTTTTGCTTTGGTTCCTCAAGCATCACGACTGTCCCAATTAACTCAATAGCTCAAAAATAGTAGTGCGAGTAGCCCTGCTCTGCACTGTAACTACACTCCACATACAGCATCCCAGTTCATGTTGACAGTGAGGCCAGGATTACACTAGCTTGAGCAATTAACGTTCCTGCTACCATCAAAATAGTGCGGTAGCATAAGTATTCGATCAGTCCCAGACACACACACCTTATCCTGCAGTTTATAAGGTAAAGAAAATGATTAGACTCTCTGTTTCAGAATTATTTGTTTAAGTTATTTTCAAGCAAAAAATGTCAAGCATTTGCTGGTTACAGCTTCTAAAATGTAAGGATGTGCTGCTTTAAATGAAGAGTCTTTGGGTTTTGGACTGCTGGCTGGACAATAGAAGCAATTTGAAGACGACACATTGGGCTCGGGGGAAATAGTGATGAGCATCAATTTTTTTTTTAATAGACTAAACAATGAATCATGAAAATAATAGGCTGGTTAGTCTATAATAAAAATTATTGTTAGTTGCAGTCCTAAATCACAGCCTAAAATTTAAACACTTATCGATACAACTAAGCATAGTGTGATGTGTCTTGTTCACAACAAATGGTCAAATATCCGTAAAGTTGAACATACAAAAAGCTGTGTGCTTAATCGGTTTCTTATGCAGTGAGATCCAGGGCCCTGAAAGTGACACTCAATATGTATCTTTTCCACTGGTGACAGAAGTATTTAGATAATTTACTCAAGTAACAGTAGCAACAGCACACTATAAAAATGCTCCATTACAACTAGATGTTCTGCAAAAAATATTAGACTCGGTCGAGGTGGAGAAAGTTTGAACTACTTCATTAACCACTGGGTAGTTTATACATCACATTCTATGATCTAATTATATGTTTTGTATGAAAACAAACTAGTTACTATCGCTGTCAGATAAATGTAGTTGAGTAAAAAGTACATTATTTCCCTCTGAAATGTGGTGGAGTTGAAGTGTAAAGAAGCCTAGAATGGAAATGCTCAAGTAAAGAGCCTCCAAAATGTACTTGCAGTAAAAGTACAGTAAATATTTCCACCATCATCACTGGTCTTTTCAGTAGTTTCTAGTCTTGAAAGGTGGCTGTAAAATGTTGTGTAGTTTACTTCATTACAGGAGGCTCTGTGTTTCTGTGTGTCTGTCTGGGTGAGGTGAGGTGAGGTGAGGAGTGCTGTGTAGAATGGCGCCCTCTATCTGTGATCATGGCCATGATCCTCAGTTGTGCTTCAGCAGAAGCATAGCAGTAATGTGCTATTATATATAGCCGTGGTGGTAGAAGTATTCAGATCATTTTCTAAAGTAAAGGTACTAATACCACACTGTAAAGCATACCCTGCTCCAAGTAAAGGTCCTCCATTCAAAACCATACTTAAGTAAAATCATCACATCATCATATATCATCATAGCCCTGATTTCAGCTTTGTGACGATGCATTTAATCGATCCAGCTAATCCAGGTGGTGCTTTAAATTGTTTATTTAGCTTAAGAAGTATAGGAGAAATTTCTCAGCCCATGTTTCAAAAAAACAAAAACAAAAACAAAAATTAGAATCACCAAATCTGGAGATACATAGTGAAGTATAAAGTACAATATTTCCCTGTGTGTCGTAGAGTAGAAGTATAAAGTTGCAAAAAAATGGAAATACTCAAATAGCAATAGACTTAATTTACTTGTATTATTGTGAGTATTATTGTGTGGGAAATCCCCATTAATCTCCACCTTACCTTTGTCAAACATATTTACACGCATAATGTGTTCTATAATTTCCAACAACAGGAAACACAACGCCAACGCTGGATGTTTCTGCAGGATGCTGGTAATGCAGAATAATCCAGGCTGAAGGTTAACCCCTATCTCTGGTGGTAGCAGGACGTCTGCGATTTTATGTATTAAATTTGTCAGCGTGTTTATTAGTCCAGAATAATGTCTGCCTGCTTTTATACACCATGGGCCAGGACACAAAATGGGCTTTGGGCCGAGTGCTTGTTGATCACCACATAAAAAGAACCACAATTAGTTTTAATGAGACTTAATGCGAATAATATTCTGGATCACAGGCTGAAGGGCTTTACAAATTGGTAGGCGCACTATAGCATGTGAGAATTTATAGTTTAGAATGATTCAGTCTCCTGGGGATCATAATTATTCATTCATTCATTCATCATTGTGAATGTTAGGACTGCACAAAGCTTGTCAGATAAGCTAGGACAAGTAGAAGAGAGGGACTATTAGTGAGCATTTAGTGTAAGTGCTGGTGGTAGATAAGAGATTTCAGCGTCCAGTTAGTTATTGCAGTATAGCCAGCTATAGGATGAATGGATGGATGTTGACATGAAGGAAAGTGAACCTAAAGTCACAACTTTTGATGCAAATCAGCACATTTAGATCACTGATGGAGCTACAGCAAACCATTTATTTAAAGAAAAATCAAGGATGTGGCCCTACAATGCATTTTCCAGTGCACAAAACTGCTGTGTTTTCCATGAAAGACTTGACTACATGCTTTATGAGAGGGCCTCAGGTACATCTGGCTGGATCACTGACTACTGTGAGGAAAGTGGAGTAGATCAACAGTAATGGATTGGTGCTGTTGGTACCATTTAATTGATTAGGCCTGACTGCAGCTTTGAACTTGATTGAAAATGTCTCGGCTCAGGGCCACTAAGACCAAACAGGTTTTACAGCTCTGGGATAATAGAGTGAAGATATTAACTAACTTTCTTTCTTTCCCCATCTCTCTCTTCTTTTCTCTTCCTTTTGTCTCCCTCTTCTCTCCCCCCAGCCTGAAGAGTTGACTGATGTGTTAGAGATCAGTAACATCGTTTTCACCAGTATGTTTGTCCTGGAGATGGGTTTCATGCTGCTGGCCTTTGGTTTGTTCGGATACATCAGGAACCCATACAACATATTCGACAGCATCATTGTTATCATCAGGTAATGTTAATCCATGCAGCTTGCTCTTTGTTATTTATAATTCAATGCAAAGACACTAAAACCATGGCTCCAGTCAGTGTAGCTTTGGCTTGGATTCAGAGCCCCCCCCGTCTCCAGCATGTCAGTCATTGGGTTTCGAGTGTAAGGTTTACTGCTGCAGCATCCATCTTTGCTTATCTTTACTTATCTTTAATAGCTTAGATTGACACACACACAGGAGCAGCTTTGCTTGCTGCCGCAGTAGATTCTTGAGCCGGGGTCCGCTGTGTGGCTTTCCTTTAGTTTGATAGAGCTCGTACTGGATCAGGGGACCTTTTGATATGTGTGGTCATGTTACTTGTGATACTGAAGGGGAATTACCTTTATAATTACTCCAGATTTACTCAAGCTGAATCTCTTCCAAATCAAACAGAATCATTTTTATAGATGTATGCTTAATTTAGACAGTCAAATACAACCTTTTAAATTGTCCAATAGTGTATTAAAGTGTAAGGGCTGACTTGCATATAAATCGAGGTTGGTTACATTCAAGCCCTTGCCAAACAAGTTCACACAATGCTAATTAAGCCTATCACTGCCTTGTGTATGGTGTCTGTGGTGGCATTCCTGTGCTGGCAAACTAGTAGTGATGTGTTTTATGCCAGCGAGCAATGATTGGTTTGCCAGAGCTGAAGGGGGGACCAACAGTGGTGACAGCAGCAGCTCAGTATGGCACAGCCTATGCATACATCATAAGCACGTCGACATTGTTGTGTAATTACTCTCTCTGTCAGAAGGGGGAGACAAAATTTCCGCACTGCAGGTTTCATACAAATTAGTTTTTTGTTGTTTTCAGTGTGTGGGAGATAATTGGTCAAGCAGACGGAGGGTTGTCAGTCCTGCGAACATTTCGTCTCCTGCGGGTTCTGAAGCTGGTTCGCTTCCTGCCTGCCCTGAGGAGACAACTGGTAGTGCTCATGAAGACCATGGACAATGTGGCCACCTTCTGCATGCTGCTGATGCTTTTCATCTTCACTTTCAGGTATGCCCACAAATCCTTCTTCCCAATCTGTCTATCTGAGATATTCTCTCATTATATTGGTATTATCAACCACAAAGTGCATACATTAAAATTATGATGACTGCATATTCTTCTTTTCTGCAGTATACTGGGTATGCACTTGTTTGGCTGTAAATTCAGTCTTGAAACAGAGAATGGGGACACCATCCCTGACCGCAAGAACTTTGACTCTCTACTCTGGGCCATCGTCACTGTATTCCAGGTTTGTTTTTAATTCACACTGTGCTAATAATCCGCATTCATTTCCCGAACTGCACTGATTTTTTTTTAAATAGTAAGATTATTTTTGTCTTAGACTCCCCTGACAAAAACTGTAATTTGAACTCTCTGGTCTACCGCTGCCTTGATCGATTAGTTTGTGTTATTGCGTGACTTTGGTGTTTTTAACCCTTTAAAACAGTTTGAATGTAAGATTTTACTCCGCTATTCTCATGTATCATCAATAATAATTCTTCTATGTTTTATGTGGATGTCCAGTGATGATAAATTTAGTCAGTTGAAGCAGTTCCTCAGTGTTTGTTTTATTGACCAAGAAAGCTGAGTTCTCCTGGTAGTGCCTACATGTACCAAGAAGCATTGGTGCAGGCTTCTGACGCCTACCCCCACCCAGCAGGCTTCCGTATAACACCACAACTAGCTAAGCAGGCGCTGCGGTGTAACTTCCACAAAAAGCAACATGAAAAAAACAGCATCCTACCTACTACTCTTGTTATTTAGTTAAATTCAAATGAGGTTCACACAGTTTGTGTTGACTGTCCCTAAGTATTATGACATTAGTCCAACATCACACAAGCCTGTGGGACTACCACTCTAGCCTACAGCTGTTTTTTTGGTGATACACTGAATTGATACACGCTCAGTGGTCATCTGCCCTCTTAGCGTCTGCCCTCTTGACCTGAGAAGGTCTCCACCTCTGTCCAAATGCAAAGTAAAACTTTCAAAGTTAGAAACGCACACTCGTGGGTTGGCATCCAACATAAACTGCCCACACTGAAATTAATTGCAGCAGAATGATTCAGTTTCTGTTGGCATTGAAGGGCAATTTGAGCAAAGGCACCATCGGTAGCTGTTTGCTCTCAGCCAGTGGCGGTTCTAGACTAATTTTATTAAGGAGGCCAGGCTGGCGCCAGTTATTTTGTCAGAGTGGCACATTCAAAAACATAAATTTTTGTGTATGAAAAGTGCTGTTTAAATGCAATGCATTATTAAATTGTTATGATAATAATTTACCCTTTAAGGAGGGGGACTCAGAACCATTTTCAGCAATATCCAAATGCTATCCATGCAAAGGAAACATGGATTACAAGGACAAAATATTGTCTACAATGTTGCATTCAGTTTAATGTACATTTTGTCGCAAGGAAGAGATATTACTATGATTACTATAGACCAGGGCTATTCAATTACAGATTCAAATTTTCTCACGAGTTGGCATCATTTGGATTTTAATGACACACTTGTATTGGTAATCCTTATTGGTTCTGTTCTTTATCATCTTATCAGTCCTATTTTTTACTAAATAATTGAATAGGCCTATATTATTTTAAAAAAGAATGTAACATTTTTATTAACTAAATGTTGTTTCTAGAGCAGCAACAGGATTTACAACAGCAAAGTCACTGATATCTCTCTGGAAACAAATCTAACAGGTCAGTAAAATAAATCATATTCCTGACAACATACTGAGTGAAGTTTAGAAAGAATGAACAACTCAGTCCCTCCTCTCCACCTCCCTCTGGTGCTGCTGGTAGAGAGGAGGGCTGGTCTGTCTCAGCCACCAGCTGAGTATTTAATTTACGTGGCAAACTAAGCTAAACAGTTACTAAAGACAGACAGCTTTCACTTTTGCTTGTTTGTAACAATAAGCTATTAGCTCTGTGCTTGTGTGAAACCAAAACACAGCTGCTGTGGATGAGAGACTGAGCAGATTACAACATGGCATTTTGCGTGTTTATGCTTATTAAACAGGTGTGTTGGTAAAGTATTGGCTTTTTACTTGCTAAGTTTTTATTGCACCACGTAGTTGTCGAGCGTAGTTGTCGTCAATGTCGGTAATGTCTGCTGATTAGCTGGCTGACTTCGATCCGTGTGTGCGGAGAGGCTGCAGGTCGGACAGTTATGTTGAGCTTTGATTGGCGGTGATCAGTCGGCCTACAGCGCATGCCAGGGCCATATCCTCTTGAGAAAATGCGTGGAATGATGTCGCAGGAATGGATGCAGGAAGAACTACTTGGCTTTCGCGGTCAGTGTAGTACAAACTGAGGAATTTCCTGCAGTGAGACAGATATGTATCTGGCTTCCCATCAAAACAAGAGCTCTAACATGTTCCTCTTATTAGAACACCGAACCCACTGACATTAGTGGAAATGTACGACAGTAGGAAAGATGGCATCACATCCTTCGTATACTATACTTGTCACAGATGAACTGGGCAGTCAGTTAGTGTGTGTATATTTTTATCCCAACATAAGCCATGTGTGCTACTTGGCCACCCGAAATCAAAATGCCAAACTGAGCCTAGAGTGTGCTTATGTGTATGTGTGTATTTGTGTGTGTGTGTGTAGCTGCCAAGTTCTGCCCATTAGTCAAACGATGTGAAATGACAAATTCTGCACTATTATTTCTATTTTTTGCTCTCCCCTGTATGGGTAGATATTGTTCAATTGCTCCAGTCTTCTTTTCTGTACTGGATGCGTCAGCAGAAAGGTAGAACACAGAATGCAGTGGACTGTCTCGCTTTGGTGTGTGAGAGTGTGTGTGGGAGTAAGATGCTGAAAAAGCGTTTTAGCCAGAGCTCACTGTCATGTGAAAGCTTTACACACACACTATATTTTTCCGGGGAGTAGCTAAAGTACACGCACATCGATGCACACATGCATATGTGCATACACACATTGACACAGACTGCAGAGAGAATTGCCTTCCTGCCATAGCGGTTTATGAGTGGGCAGAGACGGAGTGAACTTTCATACTGCATCACGAACACTGTCCTACTTTGAAATGCTTTCATCACACGTAAACATATACACGTAAACACACACACACACACACACACACACACACACACATAACATACGCCCACATAGATTCTGCCTGTCAACTTACAGTAATCCCATATGTATGAAGTTGAAATATTGTGGCATGATGGCAATAAAAGTAGCTCAGTACTGAGTTTTATAAAACACATAGAACCCACAAGATCTGCATAGGCTAATATTATATATAATCAGACTCCATTTCTTGCCCTGCCTTTCCATCTGTGTCCCCTTCTCTCTTTTTCTCTGCATTTTTTCTTAAACCTCTGGGCCTCTTCCGTCCCTTTGTCCCACCATGTCTTCATGTCTGTGGACCCTTACTTTGTTTCTCGTTTTTTAAATTATGCATCTTTAAACCTGACATTCGCTCTGTCCTTGCCTATTTTTGCCTCCACCCACCCCACCCCCACAGTACAGTGTAGAGTCAAACCCCCATGCCTAAATCTCTGTTTGTGTTTCATTCAATCTATAGATTCTTACCCAAGAGGACTGGAATGTGGTGTTGTATAACGGCATGGCCTCCACCTCTCCATGGGCAGCTCTCTACTTTGTTGCTCTCATGACATTTGGCAACTATGTGCTCTTCAATTTACTTGTGGCGATCTTGGTTGAGGGCTTCCAGGCTGAGGTGAGAACAACTGTAGTGTTTTTTTTTTTTCATAATATTTAATTAAATCACTTTCAATTTAATGGGACACTTAATTTCCAATATGCTCAATAAGTTTTGCAGAATATAAACAAAATGTTTCTTTTTCTTCGTCTTTTGACTTTGTTTCACTTTAGTAACACATTCTCCATTTGACACATATAATTGTACAGAAACGTTGCTTTATAGCAAATACAGCACTAATGCCAGGAGAACAGAGAAAAGATTAATGTCCAGTTGTTAATTTAGCATCTCTCAGACACTATATGAGGGCTTTCCCTTGCTGTTAAATAAGTCCCAGTGGAGCCATCTGAGGGTCACAGATCCGGACTCGCAATTGCCAAACTGTCACATGTAAGGCATCACTGCTTTTAAAGGGGATGAGAGAATGAAGATTGTAAACAGCCCCTAAAACACCCCTGATAATTTCAGATAATCATTTTTTTCCCTTATCCAACCATGTTATTATGTGTGCCCCTGGAGAACAGTGAGCGTTCACCCATGAAAATATCCTCTGAGCAGTGAATTCAGCGCACTTCAATGTGCTTGTGCTCCTTGACTTCATTTAAATAGTACCTGTAATCTTCTCCATGATGGTAAACTCAGAAGAAAATAGGAAAGAAATACCGACTTGCACGGTTGTATGTATGTGTTGTAGGGTGATGCTAATCGGTCAGAGTCAGATGATGAGAAGAAATCGGACAACTTTGAGGAGGATGAGAAAGTAGAACAGCTCAGAGACACAGGTAGGTTAAATAGCATTTGATTAAAGTCATTAATTCTGATTGTTTCATTACTGACTAATTACAAACAGTGTGACAAAATTACTGATTGAATAAATGATGATGATAACAATGACTTTATTCAACCTCCTCCTCCACAGAGCTAAAAATGTACTCTCTGATGATGACAGCCAACGGTCACGTTGACCCTCGTGGCTCGATGGCTCCTCCCATAATCATGCGCACGGCAGCCACACCCATGCCCACTCCCAAGAGCTCTCTGGGGCCTGAGTCTATCCTTGGAGAGGAGGTGACGTATGGAGAAGGCGTGCCTCAATATGGCGAGGTGGGACTGGGCTTTTCCGAGGCAGGAGTTGGTCATGCAGAGTCTCGCCGTGGAAGCTCCACCTCCATGGAGCCTTTAGCCTATGACCAGCGTTCTCTGGTGAGTGATATCAAACACTTTATGGAGCAAAAAGGTACCCTAAAACCGTTTAGGAGTCCATACACAAACCAACTTTTAGTAAAAATAATAATATAATATAATAATAAATACAGGTGCCATAAACAGTATATCTTGAAAGGGTATTTCATATGCAGTTTGATAAGTGTAACATTCCAAAATGAACTTATATGCCCCAATGCTGCTACCAAACTAAAAAAACTGTTTTTAAAAAATTGCTACTAAGCATGGATATAACCCACTTACTTAACAGAAGCAAAGGCAAGGAGCAGACAGACATATGAGACAAACTTCATGTTAACAGACCCACTTGTCCCAAATAGAGAACCACAAAGGGCCTGAAGAACCAATGACTCAAGTCTCATGAGGTAAATTTAGAGGTGGCTTTAAATGTTTCAGTCTAAGGACTGACCTGGAAATCATGAAGGGCGTGTAAATTCCCTAACTTCTGCTCAGAGGACTGAGAATGAGCAAATCTCACGTAGCCCTATTTTTCAGTCCCTCCAGGATTTCACAGGCCTTTTATGTGATTGTTGCGGTCTAAAATGCCAGATTTTTAAATTGTGGGAATACTTTAGAACTGATGAATCATTAAACATGATTCAAGATGGCGCTGTGTATAGCTGCCTTGGTGTTAGGTGTTCTCTGTTTTGTTTTGTTTTTTTGTGTTAATTCAGTTTTCGGCCGTGATTCCCAGAGCTCTTTCACTAGAGGGAAACCAGTGAACCTCTGGTTGGTGTTTACATTCTACCGCAGGACAACGTGTACGACGCACAGCGCATGCTGGCTTACTGAATACTGTGTGTGGAGCAGACAAACCCAGACTCCCTTGTCATTGTTCTTATTGACTTTAACAAAGGAAACCTCAGCCAAGAACTCCCCAAATACAGACAGTTTATTAAGTGTCCAGCCAGATAGGGGAACACTTTGGATCACTGCTACACCACAGTAAGCAGTGCGTATCACGCCGGCCCCCACGCTCTACTGGGACGAACTGATCACTTCTTGGTCCACCTGATTCCTGCATACAGGCAGAAACTAAAACTCTATAAATCTGTGGTGAGGACATCTAAGAAGTGGACCAGTGAAGCTGAAGAGGATCTTTAGGCATGTTTGGACTGCACTGACTGGGATGTTTTCAGGACTGCTACTAGCAGTCTGGATGAGTTTACAGAGGCTGTGACGTCCTACATTTCTCTGTGGACAGCTGCATACCAACACGCACCAATGTGAGTTATAACAATGACAAACCCTGGTTTAAAGCCAAACTCAGACAGCTAAGGTTGGAAAAGGAGGAGGCATATAGGAGTGGGGACAGGGCGTTAATGTACAGTTTTGGCAAGGAGTTGCGAGAAGCTAAACGATGTACTCAGAAAGACTACACCATTTCTCTGCAAACGACGTCACTTCTGTCTGGAGAGGGTTCAGACAGATCTCACACTACAAACCCAAAGCCCCCCACTCCATCAACCACTAGTGCCTGGCAAATAAGCTGAACCAGTTCTACTGCCGCTTTGAGAGTTAATCGGACACCATCCCCCGTGACTCCTCTGCTCAGCTTCAGCCCCAGTCCACCATCTCCTCCCTCCCTCCTCAGAGTGGCCAATGCTGAGCTTAACATGTTTACTCACCACAGGTTACTAACCTATTTGCGTTCAGCGCGTCTTTGTTTGGTTTGTTTTATGAAGTTTTAAAGCCAAAGTTTATGATGAATGGCGTAGCATCTGCCGGTGTTTGTTGTCCTCTCTCACGTGCGGCCGCGCGCAGCAGATACGTATACAGGTTATAGGTAACGGAGGGAGGGGAATAACAGCAAGCTCATCACACATTTCCTAAAAATAAACATTATTCACGAGTCCCGCACCTCGAGTCCGAGTCAAGTCTGAAGTCTTTTGAGGATGAGTCTCAAGTCGAGTCTGAAGTCACTGTGTGTGCGACTTAAGTCGCACTCGAGTCCGAGTCTCTAACTCTAGTCCCCATCTCTGGCTTGGACCCAATGACCAGGATTTCTGTTTTGTCTGAGTTCAGCTTTAGGGTATTATTTGACATCCATTTTTTTTACTTCACAAAGGCAGTTGTTAAGTGAACTCAGCATTCCAGGGTCTGTGGATCTGACGGGCAAGTACATTTGTGTGTCATCAGCATACATATGAAAAGAAATGCCATGTTTATGGATAATATGTTCAAGGGGAAGCAGATACAAGGAAAACAAAATGGGTCCTAAGACCGACCCCTGAGGCACACCATATTTAACTGGACAGAACGAAGAGACATACAGTAGTTGTTTACAGACACACATAACTTCTATTTGACAGGTAGGATGAAAACCATTGTAAGGGAGTACCGGAGATCCCCACCCAATGCCTCAGTCTGTCTAACATGATGTTGTGATCAATCATCTCCCACGACTTCAAGTGGGAGCTGAACATCACCAAGAAGGCCCAGCAGAGGATGTACTTCCTGCAACAGTTGAAGAAGTTCAGCCTGCCAAAGTCAATGATGGAGCGCTTCTACACCGCCATCATTGAGTCCATCCTCACCTCCTCCATCACCATCTGGTACGCTGCTGCCACTGCCAAGGACAAGGGCAGGATGCTTTGTAGAGAAGGTGACTGGCTGCAATCTTCCATTAATTCAGGAACTGTATGCCTCCAGGACTCTGAGGCGAGTAGGAAAGATTGCAGCTGACCTCTCTCACCCTGGACACAAACTGTTTCAGACTCTCCCCTCTGGCAAGAGGCTGCGGTCCAAAACCACAAAAACAGCTTCTTCCCGTCTACATCTAGCCTTATTAACAAGGCCCGGGTCCCTCACTGACACTCGCCTCCTTTCAAATAATACAAATGTCTCTGCACGTGTAAATATTATTCCATTTCATTTCATATCATGCAAAAACCTGGCACATTGCACATATTGGTTGTCAATTGTTAATCAGTGTTGTTTTAAATTTTTATATTTATGTTCACAATATTTTCTTTCGTTGCAATACATCTGCACAACACAAACCACAGTAATGCACATGTAAATATCTGACATATTGTTCTTTCTCTGCAAATAGTTGTATTATTTTCTCTATTCTTTTACTATTCTTATATAACTTGCCTTTGGGTCTGCATGGTGGCCTAGTGGATTGCACTGTTGCCTCACAGCAAGAAGGTCGGCGTCTGCTCCGGCTTCCTTACACCATCAACAGACATGTGGGATATCAGTGGATGGATGGAATTTGCATTTGATTATTCCATATTTATATATTTCTAAATTTATTCAACTGTATGTTTGTCTATGTGTAGCACCTTATCACCAAAGCAAATTCCTCGTATGTGTAAAACACTACTTGGCAATAAAGCTCCTTCTGATTCTGATTCTGAACAGTCCCTCCAGGATTTCGCGGGCCTAACCCTAACTCTGCATATTTAAACCAACTTACCTTGATTCTTTCAGTGCTTGCAATTGACCAGGATACAACAGCCTGTGTCACAGTGATTTGTCTCGTCTGATGTCCTCAATGCGTTTTTGCCACTCTCCGCAAATGTTTTGCGAAGGTGAGCATAAAATATGATCCAGTAGCCACCTAGCATGTGGGGGGTTACAGACAAAATTATGGAAAATGGAGCAATCAGTAACAGAAATTCTTGCTCATGCCTTGTCTGGGTTTAATTTCTCACTGGACAATGTGGATCCCCTGTGGAAAATATCTCAAGAAAGAAGGTCGTTGTTCCTGATTCTAAGAAACTGACACCAAAAAATACTGCAGAATAGATAGAGACTCCTGAAAGTTTATTTCAAACAGCTTTATATAATGTCATCAGTAACGTTTTCCCTGCAAAGTGGCCAGGTAGCTCTTTTTGAAACTATTCTAATTCAGAAACACAGACTATGCTTACCCCCTACTTCCTGTCTCTCCAGAGCCTCTCAAGTCCCGGCCGGCGTTCCCCTCTTCCTCCCCGCTCATGGGGAAGCCGTCGCTCCAGCTGGAACAGCCTGGGAAGAGCGCCGAGCCTCAAGAGGAGAGACACCAGCGGAGAGAGGGAGAGCCTGTTGTCTGGGGAGGGAGGAGAGGACGAAGATGGTGGGGAGGACAAGGGAGAGGCCAGTGGAAAAAACCGACTACGGCCCTTGGAGTCCTTGGAGCTGCTGCAGGCGTCTACTCTCTGTCCTTCTATAATAGCAGAGTATAGTGACTGTAACGGGAGGACCCTGACCTATGACCCCAACTTGAACTCTGACCCCAAGGAAGACTCCTCGCCTGAGGACGACATGGATGATGACGTAAGTTATCATGAGCTTTCAAGCTAACATTCTACGGCCAGTTTTTGAGCACTTTCTAAAGGTCTACAGCATGATATCGTTGGATATCTTATTAGATATTTATTGACATGGTGGCTTGTTTTACAGTTATGTACACAGGCCTGAGCAAAATATTTGTTAGGGTTTTATTGGCCTGGTGACGTGTTTGCTGAGCACTTGAGACCCCTTGGTTTTGCTCTGTTATGTGTTAATGTTTGAATATCTTAATCTGGCCTATTGGACTCTGTTTACACATTTTATTTCTGTGTTTTCTCTGTGTCTGTCTTTACTAACCCAATTCTTCTTTGTCTTCTTTGCCCTTAGTTTCTCTATTACTTTGAGATATTAGAGTGTGTGTGTGTGTGTGTGTGTGTGTGTGTGTGTGTGTGTTTGGTGTTCACATGGCAAGGCCTAGAGAGACACTAATTGTCAAGCTGTAATTGATTTGCTTGGGCAGTAAGCTCAGTTTGTACAAAACAACTTGTCAGTGTGGTTGTATATATGTGTGTGTGTGAACTGGAGAAGGTTTTAGTCCTCTGTGGTTTTGGATGACCTCTGTTGTGACAGTGTTGATGGTTTTATTGGCTCCAAATTGTGTTTATAAAGGCATGAAATCCACTGAAACAAAAGGCCTCTCCCTGGGCACACTGAATGCGAGGGGCTTAAAACAGATCCTCTACCAGTGTATGCATGTGAGGGTGTGGGTTTGCATGTGCGCTTGCAAGAGTATGATTCCGTGTGCATGTGATGTGCCAGCTGAGACATGTGTATGCATATGGGTCTCTGTGTGTCCATGTCAGGGATTATGGATTTTAGCTCCAAGGATAACTGAGCAGCAGGTTATTTTCATCTGGTTTATACACACACACACACACACACACACACTGAGAGGACACACCCAGGTGCACGCACACTCACACAAGCGGCAGCCTGCCAAATAAGCAGCGTCAGAGAGGCCTGACTTTGGGCTGTTTTTAATTAGAATCCTGAAGTACAGAAGCTGCTCACCTAAGCTTTCCAGTGTTTGTTTTATTAGAAACTTTAATGAGTTTCACAACACTTTCTATTGAGCTTGTAGATTATCTAAGCTGGGAGTCCGCCTGTTATGGTCCAATTATCGCCACCTCTACTTATGCAAGAAAACACTTGTTTATTGTGCCCCCATAGATTTAAATGTGTAAAGGCTAACATCAGCAATACTGTGGAAACTCAAATTAAACAATGCATTGTTTTTTTTTAATACATTGCATGGTGTAATTGTTGATTGGGCAAGTAAATTCAGTTATTGTTGCTGTCAAACACACTCAACAACGTTATACAATATGCAATTTAATATTATTTGAAGAATTGTATTTTTATTTGGTTCTATTTACAGTGTATATGGGATCATGTCTTACTCCACAGGCTTTCATACTGTTTACATAATAGCCAAGCATTTATTAAACAAGTTTTTAATTATTACTTACAAATACTAATTACAAATACTAACTAGTTATCTTTATCATTTGGAACCACTGTTTTCGCTACTGTGGCTACAGGTGCATGACAAAGGACTACTGAAAATTTGAATACTGAAGTTAGAGTACAACATCTGGTTTAGCTAGGGCAGCCGTTCATTTTTAGAAAGGATCAAAGGTTCATTTCCTCTTTAGAAACGCTGCTACTAATCCCACAGACAATCTTACCACTCTGTGTGTGACTATTGTACAATTGCCTCATAACTGAAATGTTTTTTGTAAAAATCTTGGGCATTTTACATGTTCACAATCAGAATTACTGTCCAGTGACAGCATGAATGTGATAATAATGATTGTGGCTTTGGTGTTGATTGTGTAATGAAAGTAATGACTTCACAGCTGACAATAAAAGTGAGGATTATTTTACGTCATGAACAAAGGAAAAAGTGTTGGTTGTTTGGTCAATAATGTTGATGTTTGACCTCTTACCTCTGCAGTGTACTTTCTGCAACTGGATCAAAAAAGAGCTTGATAACGTGAAGCCCCGCTGGTGCAAAGAGCATGAAGACTGGACGCTGTATTTGTTCTCTCCAGAGAGCCTGTGAGTCTCACATAAACTCTTTCATTTTCTGTGCTTCTCAGTACTTTATTTAATGAACTTGGTTCCTCTCTCTCATTTTTCTTCTCTTTTTGCTGCTTTCTCACCGCCAATTGTTTGCTTGATAGCTTTAACCGACCTTAGAGATTTTATAGATGACTCGGTATGTTTGCATTTGTGTTTAGATTACGTGCGTGGTGCCAAAGCGTGATCTCTCACAAGATGTTCGACCATGTGGTTCTGGTTTTCATCTTCCTCAACTGCATCACCATCGCTCTGGAAAGACCTGCTATACAGCCTGACAGCACGGTAAGACACCCACACTCACCCTCACTTACTGTACAATGAGATGCTTTTTAGGCCCTCTTTTAGGACTGACACACTTCCTTATTATTGAATGCAACTTTCTACACTCGCTGTGGTTCATACCCATGTTTTACTCTTGCCATGTTTTAAATTACTTTATTTTCAGGTAATATAGCAAACACAAACAATTATAGCCTCCAGACCTTTTTTTCTTTTAAATTGTTAAAATGTGTAACAACATGAAACTCACTAACCTAGCAACATTTGGCTGGAAGCTATCCACAGTAAATTACTCTCTTGAAGCAAGAGGCTAATTGTATAAAGCAACAGCTGGTACTTGCTCTATTCAGAGAGAACAAGTGCTGTTGTGAATACAAAATTTTTGGTCCTCAACATTGTACTCGTCTTTGTTGTCTTTCTATGTCTAAATTAATTAATCTCACTTTTGCCTTTAGGAGCGAGTGTTTCTGAGTGTGTCCAACTACGTTTTCACTGTGATCTTCCTAGCAGAGATGGCCATTAAGGTAACATCCTCTGTTGTCTTTGTATTGTGTGGTGAAAAGATGTGTTTGTGGTATGTGCTTAGTTAATGTTTTACCACTTTGACAATTCTTGATTAGTCAAAGGTGTGGACTCGAGTCAGACTTGAGTCACAAAAATGATGACTTTAGACTCGACTTGACAAAATCAAAGAAGACTTGCGACTCGACTTTGACTTTAGCACCAATGACTCATGACTTCACTTGGACTTGAGCCTTTTGACTTGAGCTGACTTGACACACCCCATGCCCAAATATAAATTATGATATAAACTTGCGCAGCGCATCAACATAGCACAGTGCTCAATTAGACTGGAGTGTGTGGCTTCCTCCAGCAAGAGGGAACAATCACCGACCGTCCGAAGGGCGGGCGGCCGCTCCGCGATCTCCTGTCCCTGGCCCTGTACGCCCCAGCGACCCACTCCCTCACCGGTACCTACAATGGGTTGTGTAGTAGGCCTACTACCGGCAAGCTGTGAACTGTTCGTGATCGGACCCTCTGGCTAGATGAATTTTACGCATAATTCATGCACAACAGCTGGGGGCCTGATGCAGCGCCACACAACTTTCTAAATTCCTCCATCTCACGGAGAAAAGAAAGGTCAGGTCTAAACAGTGTAGAGAGACTACTGCAGCTTTTGTGTGAAGCTGCTTCCAGAGATAAAACGATAATAGCACCGGGTGCTGTTTCACAACGACACTCGTTTTGTTTCATAAATCCAGCGCACCTCTTTCCTTTACAGCTTAGCCGCTCGTCCCTGTCTATAAGGTGTGTTCAGTGTTGCTTTACCTGATCGGTGATAGTAAAATATCCGCTGTGTCTGCGTCTTCTAACGTCATAGTGATTTCTAGTTTTCTCACCGCTGGTTTCTGTCACTGCATCTCCCGACAAAACTACACGGTTTTATTTCAGCGTTCTGTAACGTAACTTCATCAACTCGATTAGTTCACCTGTCACCCGCTCTGCTCCCCTCCATGTACACACACACACACACACAGAGCCCCCTCAGTGACCCATCCATCACCCAAAGCTGTCAACTTGGGCGAAACTGTGCTGCTGTCGTCCTCTTGCACTGTAGATGCTGCTTAAAGTTAATAATATTGGATTATTGTTTATTATTTCATGGGCTATGAGATTTTGGGGTAATGCATATATAATAGTTTTTAAAAAGAAAATATTAAATTTTAGAAGTTCAATAGTTTAATGTTCCCTAAGGCAATGAGTAATCCTGTTAAATAATTGTGATCTCAATATTGACCAAAATAATTAGCAGCCCTACATGAACATTTAATTTAATTCATGAAATTATAGAACATTTGTTGTGTGAAACTGCATCTCTGCCTTCTTTCTGTAGAGACTAAAGCTTCATTCAATACATGTTTTTTATTTTTAACTTATAAAAACTTTTGAAATGTTTTTTTTTTGTGAATAGCGCATTATGACTTGTTTAGGACTCGAAACTCAAAGTTTAAGACTTGGACTTGACTTGGACTTGCCAGTCATGATCGGTCTGGACTTGGGACTCGAGGTGACTTAAGTGCTAAGACTTGAGACTTGACTCAGACTTGTAAAACGATGACTTGGTTCCACCTATGTGATTATTATTTTTTTTATTCCTAGTTGTAGCTCTGATTTACAGCTTAAGCAATGTTTTAATTATTCCCTAATGGTTTTGCCAGGTTGTAGCTCTCGGTTTCTGCTTTGGGAAGCAGAGCTACCTCCAGTCCAGCTGGAACATTCTAGATGGTTTGTTGGTGTTTGTGTCTCTGGTCGACATTCTGGTCTCTCTGGCCTCTACTGGCGGAAACAGGATCCTGGGCATCCTCAGAGTCCTACGCCTGCTACGAACACTACGCCCACTGAGGTACATAGTGTATTTTTGTGTGTGTGTGTGTGTGTGTGTGTGTGTGTGTGTGTGTGTATGTGTATGTTGGTACTGGTTATCAGTTTGTGTTGATGCCTATAATCTCTGTGTATTTAACCACTGGACTATGTACTGGTACTAACAAACGTATGAATATCTTTATTTCTATTTTCCAGGGTAATCAGCCGAGCCCCGGGACTGAAGCTAGTTGTCGAGACGCTCATCACCTCTCTCAGACCCATTGGGAACATTGTCCTTATCTGTTGCGCTTTCTTCATTGTCTTTGGCATCTTGGGGGTGCAGGTAGTTTGCACTGACACACAGTAACAAGTCATGTAAGCCAGGCAGAGATCCACTGCACTGATGATACTGCTTTGTCATTTGCTCTTTCTAAGCTTGAGGACAAAGCCTCTAACCCTTTGTAGCTTAAATGTCAGTCTTCTTGTGTAGCTCCATATGTGATTGTGGCTTGAGGGGGATTGGAAGTGTCTCGAATATTCAATGGACTGTAAGCTTTTGTTCCTTAGAAGTGTGAGTTTTGAAAGAATGACAATTAGGTTAAGTGTGAAAAGGGACAACATGACCCCCAGGCCAGCTTTTAGCCGAGCACTCAGGGAAAACTGATAAGAATGTGCTCTATGAAATGTCCTTTTATTCCCGGCTTTAATAGTTGATTTAAAAGTTGGTTTAAAAGGCTGCAAGCTCTGGTGCAATTTAGATAATGTGTAAATGGCAGTCAAATAACCCTGCAGACCTCTCTCTCTCTTTCTCTCTAGCTGTTCAAAGGCAAGTTCTACCACTGTGAAGGTCTGGACACCAAAAACATCACCAACAAGTCTGACTGTCTGCAGGCCAACTATCGCTGGATACGAAGGAAGTACAACTTTGACAACCTGATTCAGGTATGGATTCATGGACTGAGGGTGAGAAAGGGAGAGGAGAGGGATGTAGGGAAGGAAAAGCAATTAGAGTTCAGTCCAACACAATCTCCAAAATAGATTATAGCTAATAGATTATAAATAATAGCTAGAAGAAGTCACTTTTTGTGCCTCATTTAAAGTGACTGCTGTCCTGACTCTTGAATCACTTTAAATTGTATAATTATTTTGTATGATAAATTAAACTATATTTGTCTCAGTTGTTTTAAGGGTTTTTGTTGTAACCTGAAAAAGTACACATTGCATTGAATGTAGTACATTATTGGCTTATGTTCTTCATTCGGATCTATGGCGACAGGAGAGATACAAAACAGTAGGTGATTTGTGTTTTGCTATATAAAGTGTTATAAAATAACTCTTACATTCTAGTACTAGACACTTAAAAGGTGGTTTCAAAAGACGGATCATCTTATAAATAGTAGTATTCAAACCAATATCCAATCAGCTATCAAGACTGACTATATACCTTCTACTGACAGCCACTAATTATCATTTAATCAGGGAGAGTGACGTGCTAAGATTGTTGTTTATATTGTAACAAGTCTCTGGATGTAATAATATTAGGACCAGAGAAATCCCTGTGTTTTGACTTATTTCTCTGTGTTTTGTATCCAGGCTCTGATGTCTTTGTTTGTGCTGTCCTGTAAGGACGGCTGGGTCAACATCATGTACGACGGGCTTGATGCGGTGGGGGTGGACCAACAGGTGATGATGATGCTGATGCTGATGCTGATGATGACGATGATGATGATGAGAAATGCGCCCAGCCATTGAGCTGAACTTGTATCTCAAACATTTGTTAATGGCTTGGTTTCAGCTACATGAATCCTGATCCGCTTCCAATCCTTTGTATATTGTAATCCATTTTACTCCTCATTGAGGAGCCACACTGGCACTCCTCTTTCCTTAGACAGTCACTTGACAAGTCACTTAGATGCCACTTCACAAAACTGTGCGTGTTATTTAGGGCTGCACAATTTGGAGAAAAAGTCATATTGCGATTATTGTGGACATGATTGCGATTGGCAATTGCGATGCGATTTTAATGGAACAAATGGTAGGCTACCATGAGTCTAACGTTACTTGCTTGATTATCAAGGAATGCACGAAAATACTGACATTTTGCAATGTGCATGTCTCAGCTTGAACAAAGTTAAACAATAAACAATATTTATAACAATAATTGGTAAAACAGATGTAAAACAGAACAAGTTCTTGCTCTATGAAAAAGGTGGCTAGAAGCAGCAAATATTGGGACACTGGCACCGGCTCAATGTATAATATATAATCTGTCTAATGCACAGTCTCTATCCACAACCTGGAGGAGGACATCTGCACATCAGTGTCTTAAATAAAGAGTATAATGTTTAGTTAATAGTATATTGTTAGAATAACAATAACATATTAAATACTTCATTCATTCAAATTTCATATAATAATTATTATATAATATTTTACCACTAGTTGAATATTAAATCCAGTTACAGCTGTTTCATTTCTGTGGGTTGTTTTTATTCATTAAATCCTTGTGTAAGAAAAAGGCATTTGTTAACGCAAAATACTAACTTGTCAATAATCATATTGTTCAACATTTAATGATTTGCTGTAGCACATCAAACTTTTTTTTAATGTCCTACCCCATCCAGGCTGTGGTCGGCTGACGAAAAGTGACAGACAAGCACGTCGGCTCTGTGATGTTGAACATGTTGAACAACAAAAGGCAAAGATACAGCTAACGTTAAATGGCCAGTGAGCAAAACCAAACCTTCCTTATCTTCTCCCAGTTTTCTGCTGTGTGACCGCTTCAGCTGCTGACGACATCGCTCTGTCTCTGTCACACCTCTGTCGCACCGGTATTTCTCTCGTTGCTCCGGCGACCGGCGACAAGTCTGAGTATGTTTTGAACGATTAGCGGCGGGGCAGGGAGTGGGGAGCCCGGTGTCGGTGGAGATAAAGAGCAGACTGCAGCGCACACTCAGAAGAGAATCACACACACTTTTTCTGTTTTTCTCATTTATGTAATTGCACATGACAACATCACGATTGCGATTGTGATTAGATTAATCGTGCAGCCCTAGTGTTATTTTATTGGAAGCCTTTATTGGAAGCTTTGACATCAACATGTGCAAATACCTCCCTTAAAAACAGCCTAACCACAGGTCTTAGCAGTAGACTTGTCAAATATACTTAGAGTAGAAGTAGAAAAGGAGACAGAATGGGAGTGAGCAATTAAATTAATATTTCTTTAAAAAGTAAACAAAGTTAAATGACAGTGGTATAGTAATAACAGATTCTAAGCAAAAGCAAGGCTCTAAAGGTGAGTTTATAGCAGACACTTCAAAGCTTCAGTTGATGATGCCTGTGGTGTAATGTGCTGAAACAGTCGCAGACAGTCGGTCATATTTGCAACAACATAATAAATCGGGTGACTTGAAAACAAAGGCTTTAAACCTTTATTTGTGATATCACCAAGAGAAATCTTCAAACTGCTAAACTGACTGAGTGAAATCGTGCTTTTGAATTCTTTGAAGTTTCCCAAAGGTTATCCAAGGATTTTCAGAGAAGTCACATGTTCTACTTGCCTTATGTGATGACAAACTGTGAGGCTTTGAAATGGCAGTGTGGCAATTGGGATTTGTGTCACTTTCCTGCTCAAACCAAGTCAAAAGCACAAGAAGCAAAACATAGTTGTCTTTTATGCGTTTTGTGTCTTGCTAAGCTGTACACACATGAACAAATACTATTGAAAAGCTTAATCTTCTTTACTCTGCTCTGCTCAGCCTGTAAGGAACCACAACCCCTGGATGCTGCTGTACTTCATCTCCTTCCTACTCATCGTCAGCTTCTTCGTCCTCAATATGTTTGTCGGGGTCGTGGTGGAGAACTTCCACAAGTGCCGGCAGGACCAGGAAGAGGAAGAGGCTCGCTTACGGGAAGAGAAGAGGCTCAAAATGATAGAGAAAAAGCGCAGGAGTAAGGAGAATGGAGGGGCTGGTCGGTAGTCTATTTTTCTGAGCACTGCCTGCTTTCAGAGCCTGAAAAAAAAGAAAGAGAATGACAGAGAGAGAAAACAGGGAAATATATTCAGACTTGAACTTAAAATTACAGGGAGAGTTTGAAAGACTGGCTAGCTCACGCAAACAGTGACTGATCACTGACAGAAGGCGTAGGCTATGTCAGTCTAATGCATGTAACTGCATGACTGCAGCCCTCCCCCAACCCTCCTTTATCACTGCATGGAAAACCTTTGAAACTGGGCCAACCTAGCCAACCTCTCAACTCTACAGTAGTATGATTTAAACATTTGTATGCTCGCTCTTTAAACAATAGAACTGCCATTTCTTTAGTGTAAAAATTACAATAATACAGTATTCAGTAGTCCCTATTTCTCTTTTAAAATGCTTAAATTATATCCTCTAACACCAAATCCATTCCTAAAATATAATGAGAACAATAAGTTTATTTATAATATTTTTTTATAGATGTCATTAGCACCTTTCTGCATGTGAAGCTGATCGAGGTTGATGCTCTTCTCCATTTGTCTCAGGAAATTTTGCTATCAAAATTTTGATCCATGAAATGCCAATACCCCTCCCCCCTCCTTCGAGTGCATGTACAACCCTGACCCCGAGGCGTCTCTTGACACAGGTAGAAGAAGGACATTTCCTGTAAACATGCTTTGACTGGCAGACTCAGAAACATAGCAGACGTTTTGGCTGCTATACCTACAAATACGTTGGGTAATAGAGCTGTTAGACCATGTTAAGTTACTAGAAAATACAAGCACATGCTGGCAGATGCATCACAAACACACCACCTATTGCAAGTCCAAATGCTCGCATTACATACAAGTATTTTGTGAGGACTTGTTCTTTTATTGTGGTTATGTGTCACAAGCTGAAGAAAAGAGAAGAACAAATTGGTAGAAGCACATGATTTTTATTGGCAGATTCAGAAACCCTAACAGCACCACGATTTGGCCAAAACACAATATTATATCCAACTACCCAACACATCAATCAGAGAATTACACTAGAAGGCGGTATATGGTGTGAGCAGACATCGCTCTTTTCATCTTGTGTTAGTAACATGTCTCGCTGGTCTAAAACTGCTAATGGTCCAGACAAATGTAATCTAATCAGCTGTCTCAGGGAGGACAACTCCTAACTCCAGTGTTTGGCCATGTAATCGGTCTCCTCAGATATCAAAACAAGAAAGTTTTAGACTATTGAGATTTTTCTTATGACTTAAAAATTGCTATAGGGATTTCATTGAAGAGAAGCGCCTCCGGTGTGTGTTCAACATCACAGTAGTGTTCTGCAACTTATGAAATTATTTCGGAACATGAACAGTGAAGCGCAATGGATGGATAGATTTGAATTTGTTAAAAACAATAAATATATTGGTATTAATGGAAATAGTACTTATTCAGAAACATGTAATTCATCAATGTTTGTAAAAAAAACTGTGTTGTTGAACGTACCCTGCGCAGCCCCTCTCAACCTTAGACGTTACATCCTTTACATCAAAGGCATGTAAGCATGCAGTAGATAGACAGGGCATGATGTTATTGTGAGGGTGACATACACGTGCACGAACACACACAAATACAATCATCAAATATGGACATGTGAGTGCACAGTCTTCCAAAATATAGCTACATATGTTTACACCATTTTTAAGCGCGTCTTGATGAACGTCAGACATTACTAAGTTTTGTTCATGATTACAGTTACACTTAAAGTGTGTTTATTATAAAGAAGCAGTCACAGATCTCACAGTTCCCTTCTAAGAAGGACCAACACACCTAACAAAAAGTATAGTGTAGGGTTTTTACTTTCCCATTTAGGTCAGAATAAATACATACCCTGATTAGAGACAATGATCTTGTAAAAATGCTCCCATTGCAGGAACCCTCCACACCTGCCATTTCTTTTAGTCCAATACAGGGGTAGGTCAAGGATCTGTTTCCCAAAATCACTCACAAAAATGACCTTGCAACAACTCCCAAACTTTCTTCATTACACCTGGTAACTTACTACACCAGAAATAATAAAATCTTAAACAAAACTAGGTGATTTCTTGGTGAGGAGAAGTTGTAATATGTATCCAAGAGTGAGTGATTTGAGCGAACTGCAGTCTGTCCTAATATTTGATCCATATAAACCATGTCTGCAAATTATGAAATGAATAATATAGCCTACCTGTGACTCTCATGTCCACTCTTTTTGGAACATCCCATACAGGCGGTGGTGTGCACAGACTGTCTGTGAGGCAGGGGCGGTAATGAAAGAAGGGACACCGCCACAGTAAGCAGGGTTATAGTAAGGGCTCATTCACAGTAGACATGAGATGCCAACGGGGCACTTAGGACGCTCAAGCGCTCCCCTGATGTGATGTGTGGGCAAAAACTGGAATACCATTAAGGCACAAGCATATTGGTTGAATAAAGGTATTAGAAGGGAACTTTTGCAGCCTGAGCAGTGGCGGCTCCCCTCCCTGGATCCCTGGACCTTCCTGTGCTCACCACTGGACACATGAAAAATATAAATGTCAGAACACTATTACTCACAGTTGCACTCTGTCTGTCTGCGTCTTGACATTTGTCTCCCCTTGTGCCGCTGTTGCATATATTTGTTTGTTTGTGTGTGTGTGTGTGTGTTTGTGTGCTCCAGAGGCCAAGCAGAGGCCTTACTATGCAGACTACTCTCCCCTGCGTCTGTCCATCCACACACTGTGTACCAGCCACTACCTGGACCTCTTCATCACCTTCATCATCTGCATCAATGTCTTCACCATGAGCATTGAGCACTACAATCAGCCACAGGTAATGTTTCTGCACGTACACACACAAACATTATAGTTACCTGTAGGGATAGGTACCAAAAAACCTATATTAGGATGGTTTTCTGGCTTAGAAGCAAGACACCCTCCTCCTGGGCAGCCATTCAATTCCGTTTACCACAGCTAGAGGGCATTTTTACTTTGCCCATTGTAAAATAAACTTTTTCATACACGTCTAGCCGTGTTGGCTAGTTTTAGCTAAGTGGTTTTCTGCGTAAAGTGCCACAGTAAAGTGCAGCCCGCCTTCCAAAAATATCTGTGTTGACTCATCCTCAGCTTAACACTCATCGGAAAAAATAACATCACCGCCAGAACTAGGTTAATCACAGATTTAATTTTTTTTTTCCGAAAAAAGCCAGCATGTTTATTTAGTTAGAAGAAAGTTGTTGATGTATTTTTGGAGAGATGCCACAGTCCTCACTGATAGCACTGGAAACCTCTTCTATAGTCTAATTTGAAATGACTTTGTTCTTTTACATGCCCTCAAGCAGCAAAAACACTTCCCAAACATTTCTTTTATTATTTCCACCAAAGATCCAAGTTTTATTTACCAAATTATAAAGAATTATTTAGTATCACCTCAGACATTGAATAAGCATCTAATGTAAGAAATGTTATCGTCTTCTGTCTGTTTGTGTGTTCAGTATTTAGAGGAGGTCCTGAAGTACTGTAACTACGTCTTTACCTGCATCTTCGTGATCGAGGCCCTGCTCAAGCTTACGGCATTCGGCATACACAGGTTCTTCAAAGACAGGTAACGCAGTGGGATGTGATTATCCACAACACCTAACGCTGTAAAATGTAATTTTGTTAAATATTGACTATATGTCATTGTTTCTTAATTACAGTATATGTGGTGTAAAATTAGGGGATTGGGTGGGTGAGTGTGTTTGTCTCAGGGTGCCCTGGCAGAGCCTTATCACAGGTAAACTCAGTGTTACCTCCACCATAGAGATTAGTGGGTGGGCTACCCATTAATCTCAGCAACCTGCTCACTAATAAACCATCAATGGACAGGCAGCAGCATTACTTATTCTCCTTCTTCTACTCATGTACTCCTGTTCTAACCTTTCAACTCACAATAACACTTACTGTTTAGAATAAAAGATTACACCTTCTCTGACTAATACCACCGACTTGTACATGAAATGATAGGGGAAACTCTGAGTTAGCCAACAGGGAAGTCTGTAGAGGCTGAAATGTACTTTCTTGTACTGTACTGGAGTAACACCAGGTAATGACTCTTTTTTTCCCTTCCACGTGTCTAAAAACAACTGTTGAACAACTTTTATATGTGTGTGTTTAGGTGGAATCAGCTGGATATAGCTATAGTGGCGTTGTCCATCATGGGCATCACCCTGGAGGAGCTGAAAATGAGCGCAGCACTGCCCATAAATCCTACCATAATCAGAATCATGAGAGTACTCAGAATAGCACGAGGTAGAAACACACACAGACACATAAACCATAACTGTTTATCTAGTAAGCTGTTGTTACATCATAGGCTACATCATAAATGTATTTATTTATGTTGTGAAGCACTTTTTATCACCATATTTTTTATTGTATATTCTTGTAAATTAAAAGTAAGATCTGAAGTTTGTCATGGATGCCTCGTGGCTTCTAGAAATAAACAGTGCCTCCTTGCTGTGGTTGCAGTACTAGTATCCTGCCATGCCTTTGTAAATCCTGCAGCAAATGGCCAACAGCAACAACTAGCTAAGACTACTTCTGTGTCTCTCTGCAGTGCTGAAACTTCTAAAGATGGCCACGGGGATGAGATCTCTGCTGGATACTGTCATGCAAGCGCTGCCACAGGTAAACACAGACTGTGGGGTCTCAAAACACAAGAGCGATTTTGTTTTATTCATGATTTCTTTTTTCATGAATATAGGGTAAATAGGAAGGTTTTGTTCAGAATAGACAGCTCTCTGAAAGATTTATGCTTGTTGATGAATATTTAACTCCAGTCATATCCGTCCACATTACAGAATTTGTATTGTGAAAATGCATTTTCTACTTCCTCCTGACTAACTCTCTACAGCTGAACTGTGCCCTCCATTTGGTTTTGCTTAACAATTTATTGTAATCACAAACGTTCAGCAATACACAATTATTTAGCAGTGTCTTAAATGATGAATTGTAAATGATCTTGAGGGTTCTCCACAACTAAGCAAAAAAGATCTGTTCTGTTCTGTTACTGTTACACTGAGTACATGGAGGGTTAAGAGAAATCAGTTTCATTTAATGAGTGAAAGAGTTTGTTCACTTCCTGCAGCATTTTTGCATGGATTAGACCTTGATCGACTTTTAGAGTCAGACTGCACAGCCAATGTCCTGGCCTGCCTTTGCTTGATTTCCATCCAGTCGACGCATTATTTTTAAAGTATGTTGATGGCCGTTGTGGCTGTTGTATCTCAGGTCTCTCTCTCCTGCTGCGTGGCACAGTTCTTGGAGGCAAAGAGCAGCTGCACGGAAGACTATGATGCACATGCCGTGACAGACTTCATTGTTCTGCTATTTTTCTAAATGTCAAGGGTGCAGATATCAGGGTACAGAGTGCACAAGAACAGATTTCAAGGAACTGGATAAAAGACAACACACAGGGAACTTTCTGATGGTATGATGCGGATGTAGTCATAGGAAGTGAACGTTCACAGGGTCTCGCCCAAAGAACCTTCAAGATCACTTTATCCCACCAGATGTCCCGGTGTACTGAGTTAGAAAGCTTCTGTCATTTCAGATTTTTTTATAAAACATCAAAACTAAGAAAACACGTCTGCCAGTCCATTTTAAGAAGTCTTAAGTCGTTGTATTTAGCTGGCCTGTTTTATCTACCTTGCTAATGTGAAGCACAAGTGTGTGCCCTCAGTGTGCACAATGCACAGTCCCACTTCGAAAAGAGGAGTGTCAATGAGGATGTCAATGTGTAACCTACTGGAGCTTGTATTGTGTGGCAGTATGGTATTTACATTATATCTCAGCAAAGATTTCACTTCGGTGCAAGACATTTTTGTAACAGTGTTCTTTCCATGTAAAATGCACGGTTAGATTAGTGTCCAGAAATAAATCTTAATGTCTTCTATTCCCTGCAGCTTTAAACGAGCAACATTTACACTGTAGTGTTTTGGAGTGCAGAGGGGGATCTAACATGCATGTTGCTTCCAGGTGGGAAATCTTGGTCTCCTCTTCATGCTGCTCTTCTTCATCTACGCTGCGCTGGGAGTGGAGCTGTTCGGCAAACTGGGTCAGTCACACTACTGGCAGAACACACACACACACACATGCACCACGGTCCACAAGCTCCAGCAGAAAAGGTTTTTGAATCCACTTATTACTACCACAGTCACGACTTCCAGCAAATTTCCCTGCCTGAATTGTCTCGGTTGACTCCTAACTCTCTACCCCCATCTGTTTTCCTCTCTCTCTCTCTGTCTCTCTCTCTCTCTCTCTCCACCACACTCACATCAGAGGCCTGGTTCTAACAAGAAAAGATCACATTTGCATGATCATTTATTTACATTTATTTACATATTGCTTCCTCAGTAGGGCAGCTCCATCCAACTCATTTTCTCTGAGAGCAACAATGTGTGAGGGAAGAGGATTAGTAAAAAAAGGCATCTGGGAGGACAAAATGAAAACAACTTGGTGATGAAGAGGTTGTTTTCTGTGAAATGTTATTGTGCTTCTCGTCACATTGGGAAAAGGAAGGGATGTATGTTTCCAGTTTTATAAAGTAAGAATCTGTTTTTGTTTTTTTCTTGCTATGATTTTTGTGTTTGTCAAGCTGCTAAGAAAAGCTTTTGGATGTGGCGAGCACCGTCTTTTCCCTGTCTGTGCCTCCCTATAAATGCTGTTTCAAAGCTTACAAAGCTGAAGGAGGAATTATATTTTGGTACAGGCTTGTAAAGAAGTCTGTTGGAGAACATTGCAGTACAGCGTGGGGAAGATCACGAATCATTACTTTACCTCCACAGTGAAGTTGTTTATCATATTGTGTTGAACCAATTTTTGCCTAGTCATTACTGGAGCTAACAGTATTTGGTCTTCTCGCTCCATCATAGACATTGTAAGTGGTTTCTGGTATTTCACACTGATGACCGATTGAATTCAAAACACGTCTCTTTCCTGCTTTTTATGTAGTATATATTTCACATTAAAGATTTTCAATTTTAAGGAACTTTTTTTCTTTTCAAGAGCTGATGTGTTTATTTGTATGTAAGCTGACGGAGAATACACAGCGAGCAGATATAAAGTAGTAAAGGCCTCCACTCGTATGAGCTTAGTGTGGGCTTAAACTCCACAAAGTGTTGTGAAATAACTAGCTGCCAATAACTGGCTTAATTGGCTCACGGAATCGTTTACCTACCTTTAGAAAGGAACAAAGACATTTTAAAATTCATCTGGGAGACTCAAGACATGGGTAATATCTACCACACTGCTAAAGTCTGGGAATATTAAATATCTGGGTGTCAATATTTCCTCCAGGCTGTCAGAACTGACATGGCTAAACTACACGCCTTTACTTAAATCAATAGAGGATGACCTTGTACGTTGGACATCATTACCTATATCACTCATGGGAAGAGTCTCCACCATAAAAATGATGGTCCTACCTAAAATCAATTACCTGTTTTCAATGTTACCCACCAAACCCTCTGCTGTCTGGTTTAAATCACTGGACTCAAAAATCTCAAAATTTTTGTGGAAAAATAAACCCCCAAGAATAAGTTTAAAAACTATGCAAAAAGCAAAAGACTGTGGTGGTTTAGAACTGCCAAATTTTTATCATTACTTCCTGTCCAACAGACTACAATATATCTCAAAATGGATCAATCAGAGCCCCCTGGACCACTCGTGGATGGACATAGAACAAACATTCTGTAAGGAAATTAAAATTTCCGATATGCCATTCATCAGTTCCAGCATCAAACGTCACTAACGTCATAAACGTGCTTTAAAAGCATTAACATAAGCACTTCCTTGGCAGCTTGGTGGGAACTTCTCAAAATATCTGGGTCTTCACCTATCCCATGCAGATTTACCCCAATCTGGAATAATCCTGACATCCTGCAAAATAAGAAAACACTTATGGCGGTGGGGGTTGGCGGGGGGGGATGCTCGTGGTGGGTTTCGGTCCGGTGGTGAACGTGCGGTGTGGGTCACGGTGTAGCCGTGGGTGGGGGTCTGTGGTCTCCCTGGCTGCGGGCTGGTCCTTTATCAGCTGGTTGGGGGGTGTCTCCTCTGGATTTTAGTGCCCGGACTGGATGCTTGGTGGTTGTACGGGGATCCTGTGTGGGGAGGGATTGTGCTTTGGGGTGTGTCAATGGTTGTTTTGCAGTCGCGTCGCGGCCCTCTGGATTGTGGTCATGTTGAGTCCTAGGGGCTGGGTGCATCTGCTGACTTCCTAGGGTAGAGGGGCTGTTGCTGCTGTCGCGGGGTGAATGCTGTCTCTTTTCTTTGGGGACGGTGGGGGTGTGTGTGTGGGATGCTTCGCTGCAAGGGAGAGAAGGGCGCGGGGGTGGGGGTCTTCTGGCCTGACCTGGCCTGAGTGACATTGCCTCCTGGATGTGGGCGGACCTTCGGGTCTGGGCTGTTGGGCCGTTCTGTCCTTGGGCAGGGTCCTTGCTGCTCCGGACCTGCTCCCTTGTAGGAGGGGGGAGGGGGGTTGTGCCAGCTCCGATGGCCTGGTGGTCTGATTGTGTGGGAACGGTGAGGTGGGGGGGTGGCAGTGGGGCTGCCGGAGGGGCCCCGGCGAGGATGGGGGATTGTTGGACTTTGGGTTGGGGCTGCGCTGACCTGCCTCGGGGTTGTGTGGGAGTCTGAGGCTCGGGGCTTTGGAGCCTCTGGGTCTGGGGCGGGTCTGCGTGCTGGGGGGGCTGGGCCCCCCTGGACCCGTTCTGGGGCTGGGCGGGGTTGTCGCTGACTCTGGGGTGCTGTCGGTGCTAGAGGGGCTCTTGCTATAAGCCCTGGGCTGGAGGGAACTCGCGTCCTCCTGCTTAGGGGGGTGGGGGACGGGACTGAATGATGGGACCAATCAGGAATCTGGTCCCATCATGAGGAGGACCATTCTAGCCTCCCTATGACCTCCTTCACCTTTCCCCCTTTGGTCATGTCTCACAACATACACCCTTAGGACTCTGTGGGGCAGGCAGGCTGCAGGGCGTTTGGTGGGAGGGGCTGCTTTATTGCGGCCTCGCCCTTCTTCCTCCCCCACTGTCCGCCCCGCACAGAGGGTTTGGGGGGTGGTAGGGGCACGATGGTAGGCTCCACTACCTGACAGTTGTGGGGTGCCTGTGTCACAACTACCCTCCAATTTTAACTTACCACACACCTTGTCTTTACTCCGCCATACAACACTTCACAATCCATGACATGCACAAAACAATACATTTACAGAGGCGGGGGTGCTGTGGGGTTGGTGACGGACTTGCCTGATCTGGGGTGGGCTGGGGGGGTCGGGGCTCCCCTGGCGTGAGGGCCCGCTTTTGACCTAGGGATCTGGGGACTCGGGCTTCTGGCTTTTGCTCATTTCTGGGCGGGTGGTGTGTCCCTGGGCCTGGGGGGCCTGTTGTCTCCTCTCCTCGCCTGGGCCCTCTTTGGCAGGGGTGGGGCTCCCGCTGCTTCCCCCTACCAGCTCTCTCACAGTGGGGGCATTCGGGAGTCTCTGGGGCACATGGCCGGTGTTGTCGGGGTAGGTTTTGGTGCTCCTCCTTGGGGTTGCTTGACTGGGGGGGCTGGGCCACCGTCCGAGGATGAGATCGGCCTCGGGGGCTGCTGGCACTGCCTGCACTCTGGGGAGGGATGCCTCTGGCTGGGCTGGGGGACTGTTGGCCTGGTTCTCCCGAGTTATCGCTCCCTGGCGGCGGGGAGCTTCCCGGCACGGCTTTCTGCTGTTCTTCCTTGGGGCGGGGTACAGCTTCCCCCGGGACATGCGGTTGATCCTGTTGTGGTTTGGAGGGCTGCGGTGGGATTGTAGGGCGATTGTAGATGCATCTTGATGCATTGTGCTTTTCCCTGGGCAGGGTCTCTGAATGGCTGCTGGGCGTTTAGTTTGTGCATTGGAGTCCGGGGGAGGCATTTCCTCGTTGGCTTGGAGGGACCAGTTTGCGTCGCTGTTTTGCTTTGTTGGCCTCGGATCCATGCTTTCCCATTTCTCTGTCGGCGGACTTTTATTGGCGGGTGCACGGTGACCTGCGCGGCGCGTTTGCTGCCAGGCTAGGACATGCTGCTGGTGTTTCTCTCCACTGGCTTTCGTTGTCGTGTTATTCCGCTCGTTCTCTCTCGTTTGCCCGACCTCGCACGCGGGATTCGCATGGGGCTGCTGGGCATTGGGTGTTGCCTTGCTCGCGCAGTGTGCATGTTGGGCTCGTCACTTGTGCATTAGTGTTGATGATTGCGTGGCATTTGGGCGTTTTGGTTGTTCGCTGCGCGGCGGTGGAGTGCTGGGTGGGGGGGAGCAGTGGTCTATTTTGTATGCGTGCCGCGGTCGGTCCGGGCGCTGCTCTTCCGCGGGTTACGCTTCTTGTGTTCCGTCGGCATTACATTGTCAACTGGCAATTTGGGTCGGGGTCTTCCGCATTTGCATCGCGGTGCATCTGGGAGTCTTTGTTTTTTGATTATTTTCCTTTTTTTTTTCTTTTTCCCACCCCTATTGGCTACTGGGGTTCTTGCCTGCCTGTTGCTGAGGTAGGTGTGGCACAGCCGTGACGTCCCACTCTCACTAACAACTACATTCAACAGGCTTATGTGCACACACATGTACACACACACATACAGACACATTCACCCACACGCACACAGACACACACAGTCTCACACATAGACACAAACAAATTTAGGTTGTCCCTGGTAGAATTATTCCTGATGCTTTTCTTTCAGTTACTTATTTAAATTAATTGTTATTATTCCAGCTCTCGTGGCTGTGCTGTGTTGCTTATTTAGTGTGCTTGACTGTTTCTTGTTTTCATTTTTCTCTTAGTTGTCATACTATGTCAGCTGTTCATTGCTGCTGTTCGGCTGGTTGTCTTTTACTATTATTATTATTTTTATTGTTTGTTTGTGTTTGTTTGTTGTTTTTCTCCTCCCCAAGCCCCCCTCTCTGTTCTATTGCAGGTTTCGTTGCTTTCTGCAATTGGTGTTTCCCTCTGCTATTCCCTGTTGTTCCCACCTTCCATCCCCCTTCTCTCTTGTCCTTTCTCTGTGCTGCCTGTTTGTGCCCCCCCATCCCCATGTCTGCCCCCCTGTCCTGCCCGGTGACAAATCAAAACATAATTAAATAAATAATAAAACAGACAAAGGAGTATATTAATACTCTCTTGTTAAAGTAAAATCTGTCTGGCACAATATGGTATCCAGGTCATCATACTCTCTACCAGGCTGCTGGGCAGGGCAGGTTTTTAAAAAAAAAAGAAAAAAAAAAGACATGGGTAATATCGTATGTTGGCATTCCACTCTGACTGTGATGTCTGTGGAAGGCTAAACAGTTAAGAGAGTCATATGTAATGAGGGTTTGGGTGTACTCACAGCTTTGGATCAAGTTGCTGTGCCGATAGCAGGTAGTATGAGCATAGGTGATTCTGAATATATTTCAGTTTGAATCTAAATATAAACCAGATGACTGATGTCTTGAAACCTAATACCCAGATGAATCCCAATTTCCACCCCCATCCTCTTGCTGCTGGGCCATGACTCAGACTTGGGGAACTACTGGAGCAGCTATTAATAACACACAAATTTTTAGCTTATATCCACATGCTTAAGTTTAAACTGGTTGTATGTGGTTACCATCTAGCACACTTTTTTCCTCTCTGTCCTTTTTGTGTTTTATAAAATAAGATGTTGTTGGTGTTATTATCGTTTAGTCTCTTAATGAAATGGCTACTGTATGTATGTGCATTTCAGTCTTGCATGAAAAGCGCTGTATCAGTAAAGATTGATTCCATTTGTTATTATGGAAAGTTGCCCTTTTCTATTCCTCTGAGCTACACACTGGCATTCTGAAAACCTCTCATTTTCCTCCTGGTGGTCGATCCTTAGAAAAAGAAACAAGGTACATAATACTCTAAGGACTGTCCCGTTCCTCTCTTGCTTCCTGTTAATGTGACCTGGGGTTAGATACAAAGGAAGATATCTTCTGGTGGCTGTTATGATTCTGTTAACAGGCTCCTGAGCGGCTTTCTGTCAAATTGACCCTGAGACTGATTGAGACATTCCCCATCCTCCAGAAGACAGCTATCTCTTCTCCTCTCCTCTGTCATGTCCACAGGGAAACACTGCTTAGCAGCTGTTTGTGTGTTCAGTGTGCAATGCTTTAATAGGACTAAAGCAGGACTTTCTGAATGGGGCACTGACACTTACATGATCATGTATGCTCACTTTTTTAACAACCATGTCTGTAGTATAGTGTAACTAATGTCTGTCTATGTTTGTGTGTTGATTAGATTGCAATCCCAACAACCCATGTGAGGGTCTGAGCCGTCACGCAACCTTTGAGAATTTTGGGATGGCCTTCCTCACGCTGTTTCGAGTGTCCACTGGAGACAACTGGAATGGGATTATGAAAGTATGAAAACACACACACACACACACACACACACACACACACACACACACATAAATTATGACTAGATTATCCCATAACCACAGAGAGTGCAATGACCTCTAAAACCAATTATTAATAATAAAGTGGCTTAGCGCCGAGCAATGTCAACACTTTCACATCTTGATTTTTACTTCATTAACAAATGTGATGTATGATTAATCATCCTTACCTGACATGATATAAATAGGTCAACTGATACAAACAAGGACAATATTGAGAATGATCTTTTCCTGGCAGATTTTTCATGGCAGATTTTTCATGTCATAATGTTGAATTTATATGGATTTATAACATTTGGGATTTGTAGGATTTTTCAGAAAATGTGTCAAACGCTAACGTGAAGTGGACATAGATACAATTCAATGTCTGAGAGCAGTCAGAATTCACCTGTCAGCACCACACACATTCTACATTTAAACTGCAGCTAAAAAAGACATCTCCATCTCCATTTATTATCACATTAATGTTTATTTTATTTATTATTTATGTATTATTTACATTCACACAGACAGTACATACACACACACATATTTGTGGATTTAGCTATTTATGTCACACAACAGCACATATTTGCCAGTTTGACTATGTTTTGGTTTCATTCCGGAAGAAAACAGTCAAAGAGTGGATGTACATTAAAGGGGCATTATGGAGTTTCCAGCGGCCACTAGCGGTGCGGTTTTAAGATTGTACCTACCTGTAATAACTGGCTGTGTGCACTACTCTGTTTCTCTTGCTCCCTTTCTCTCTTTTCTGTCCCTCTTTCTTTCTGAATCTTTCTCTCTGTCTTTTAAGGACACACTAAGGGAGTGTCATCCAGAAGACCGCCACTGTCTCTCCTACCTGCCTTTGGTCTCTCCAATTTACTTTGTCACCTTTGTGCTCATGGCCCAGTTTGTGCTGGTCAACGTGGTGGTGGCTGTTTTAATGAAGCATCTAGAGGAAAGCAACAAGGTACAGTAACTAGAAAGACTAAGACCAAGACAGTGCACAAATACAGACATACATAGACACTTATGTGTACATTTGTGAACAAAGATTATATAGAGGTTATAGAGACACAGGACAGATAGATTTGATGTACATGTACCACATAAGATTTGTGTATTGGTCACTGTCTCATTAGTACCTTTGGACCATTTTAAGGACGTTTTAATCTACTTTTGCAGGAAGCTAAAGAGGATGCAGAGATGGATGCAGAGATCGCCTTGGAAATGGCTATGGAGAGGCAACGCAAATTAAGCACAAGCTCCCACAACAGTTCAGTAGCAGGGACCTATGTTGGGCCATGTCCCCATTCACCTGAGCAGGTAGGAAGGACTTTACCTAGTTAAGTTTAGCCAGGAAACTTGACTAACACTGAAACTGTAATGTGTAACGGAAGAAAGCAGGCTGCATGTGGCATGTGTTCCTGAAAGTGTCCTTTTAATTCATTAATTCATTGTGAAACAGTATACATTGCAATATTCAGTGTTACTGCATGAAGACACAGTCAGTGCTAGAGCTGTGTGGTCTCTGTCTCCCCCTGTAGGAGGAAGAGGCGCAGTACGGTGACCAGGACCTGCTGTCACCAAGGAAGATGTCTGTATCCAGGATGCACTCTCTGCCGAATGACAGCTACATGTTCCGACCTGTGCGGCCTGCCAGCGCCCCCTACCCTTTGGAGGAAGTAGATCTCAGTCCCCAGCACCAGCATTCAGGTAATTTATCTGTTCAGGATTTTAGACTTAAGGTTAGCATGAGGTTATGGTTCTCTGTCTATTTTTTGTATTAGACAGCCACTGACATTGTTCTAACAGACACTGTTGCTAATTCTATTTAATAGACGTCACAGGGACTAAGATTTTTTTTCATGATGCATGTATGTTTTTAGCACCAAACTAAAATAAATCCTCACAACCACATCTGGTTAATGCTATGATTTAATTTTTATAAAGGACTGAAGTTCCAAGTACGTTAGTGTAAGTATGTGGTTTGTATGGAACCCTGGGTCCCCCAGTAGTTCTCATGTCTAATCATTAACTACATGTAAGATAAATGTGTGTTAAGTACTAGTTCCCAGTGCTATTAAAGCACCAAACCGGAATTTTGGGAGCTTTATGGAGCACTGCCAAATCAGGAATAATAGGACTGAGTTATAGAAGCTTATGTTATCCCATCATTTTACAACTTAGGGATTCAAAATCCTCTAAATATGGAAAATGGCTACTAGTTACACAACGTAATCAAGACATGATGCACAGATTGACAAAGATGACAGTGGCATTGCAAGTTGTTAGTAAACGGCGGGAGACACCAACAAATCAGTCCCACAAATTCCTCTTTAGGATGCTAATTATGATAATCAGGCAAAGCACAGTTAAATGTACCATGCACAGTTCTCAAATAATTATTTTGAAAGCAGAGCTATAGTTTTTCAATAGAAAAAAATAATATATATATATATACAGATTGAAGCTCAGAGACAGGCACAGGTATTGGCAGAGAGAAAGCTTCGCTGAACTTCCTGCTGCTGGGAAGTTGAAGTGATGATAATCAAGTGGGAGGTAGTACAAGAGCAAAGCTGATTCAGAGCTACTGTAGGATAGTTTGTTAACAGAAAAGATGTTTGTTGTGTCCTTCAATGCATCAGATTTGTTTAGAACGTTCCTTTGTCTTCAGGATGTAATATTTGTAAAATGTATTGACTAAAGAGCAATTGCAGTGAGACTGACATCTCTAAATCATCCTTTGTAAAATCAAAGATAACATTACATAACATCAGTGGTGCTTTTCTTTCCAGTTCCGGCTTGGGTCTTTAAACGCAAGGCAAAACAAGACACAAGATAAATTAGAAGCAGAATAAACATGCTGAAAACGCTACTCTAAGCACTGACAAGCACTGTTTTATCTGCAGTCAGATTCTAATGGCATGTTGTGGCCAGGCTGTGGACAGGCCCTGCTCTGTCCCAAGGTACTGACTGTAGTGGATGAGCTGGTTCATGTGAATCTCTGCAACCTTCACACAGGCTCATCTGCTCAGCTTCGGAATGGCCGAATACACGACGGGAATGATGGTTAACTTACTGGCCAAGCTGCAAAGTCAGAAAACTATACACATAAAAGTGTAATTGTCACAGCTGCGGTGATTTGTCTAATGTTCTCTGTTTAAGATTAAAACTGGCAGGTTTATAATCAAGTGGCTTTACAGCTTGGCCTGAAAGTACCAACTGAAAGTGAACTTGTTTAAGATCTAACTGACTTTGCTACAATGTTTTAACCTGTTTTACTGTGATTACATCTGAACTCACAGGTGAAATGGGCATGTGTGTGCAGAATGCCTAAGACCCTGGTTACACAACCTCACAGCAGTTATTGAATACAGATTGAATGTATGATGAAGCATCTCCCTCCTCATCTCTATGCAATCAAACTTATTTAGTGTTGACGACTTTCACCATGACGTGTAAGCCCCAATCAGACAGAATGCGTTATTTGCAGTGAGCGGCGCCTTTTTTAAATTGTATTCTATTGGCAGTGAGGCTGTTTATGTGCGCTGGGCACCTCGCCTTTTAGGCGCCTGCTGCATTTTTGAAGGAGTGCTCTGAGTGCACAAAGTTGAAAGAAATTCAACATCTGACGTCATTCTCGTTTTTTACCATTGTCCAATCAATGAATGGAGAGGGCCCTCAGGTGTGGGAACGTAAGTTTAGATGTTTTTAGCAACAAAAGACACAGAACTGTGAGTTGTGATCAAGTTTCTGCTAATATGACAGTTATTAGCTGCAAACCAAACATTACAGTGCGCTGGCGCTATAATCTTTGATTAGACTGACAGGACAGCTGATTTGGTAGTTGCCTAGTGAAATAAAAAAACGCAGCGCACTGCTCTTTTCCAAGTTCAACCGAAAAGGCACCTCTTGTTTTTAAACCTGCAAAACGCTTTCTGTCTGATCGGGGCCTTAGAGTGCTACCTGTTATCAGGGTCTTAATGCTCCCTGGCACGATTATCTAAACACAGTCACATGGAACTGTTAGTGCAACCAGGATCTAAAGCAGAATATTGACCTTGTATGACTATATTCCTGATTATCAGCTCAGTGCTGCTACTTTACTGATGAGCAAGCTGCTGAATGTGCTAATGATTTTTCATTCAGAAAACACTCTATTTTGATAGCAAATTTGAAGCAATTGTAAATGTATTAAAACTGAAATGTTTAGTTGATTGGTTCTTATTGCTCATATCCAAATATTCTATCAAAATAAAGTGTTAGTCATATTATACTTTTTTAATCGTCACTCAAATATAATAACGTTTTATTATTCCAAAGTGATAGGGAATAGTCAGTCGCGCGTGTATGTGTTTGTCCAAATATGCATGTGTTTTCTGCAAAAATGCATGTGTTTGCACTGAGAGTGTGTACATGTGGTTGTCTCACATGTATGATTCAAACACTTTACATTTCATACTTTCAGGCTCAGTGACGTCGGTCCACTCCCAGCCATGTGAGAGTCGCGCACTGCTGCAGGTACCAGACGTTTCCCCGATTCACCCTCGGCCACCTCCCACCCTCACCCTCACCCTGCCCCGCATTGCCCCGCCCACGCCCAGCCCCTCCCCACGGTCCCTGCGCAGACAGGTGAGAGACCCCATCTCAGCTGCCTACATGCTTACATTGACACATTCACATATTTCGGTGTTGGCGTCCATTCATTCATGGTGGTGTGTTTTTATGTTGCAGGTGGCACTTAAAGTGGACTCTGTGGAGTACCAGGGTTGTGAGCAACAGGAGAGGCCCAGCCCTGATATACTGCCTCCCCCCTCTCCTTCTCCCCTCTCTCCTCATACATCCTCCCCATCTCCCCTGCCCCCTCCACCTCCCTCCTCCCCCTCAGCCCTTTCTCTCCCACCCTGCTCCCCTTCTGCCTTCCCTCTCCCTCCTCCCTCTCCCTCTCCCTCTCGTCTACCCCCTCTACTGTCCTCCCCCTCTTCCCTACCTCCTCCGCCATCTTCCCCCTCGCTTCTTCTCCCTCCGCCTCCCTCCCCCCGCCTCCCCCTGCGCCCTCCCAGCCTTCGGAGACCTAGGCCGCCCTCTGCTGCCTCCCTCTGCGACCCTGCAGATGAGGAGGTGTATCACATCACCAGCTCAGCCAGCCACAGGTGGAGAGCTGAGGAGGGAGGAGGGCAGGAGATAAGAGGGAAGGCCGGCCGCAGCCACTCCCTCTCCCCCTACACCACCCCATACCCTCTAGATTCCTACTCCACTTCCTCCCCTACTCATCCCCCGCTACCACCTTCCTCCTCGAGGAGCGCGCTCAGTCTGCTTGGGGCGGGATTGAAGGACCGTGACTTTAGGAAGGGTCTTAGCGTTGACAACCAGGGCTTCCTGGACAAGCCATTATCATTGTCTGCTGGTAATCCTGATGATCAGCGCCGCCACTCAATAGAAGTCTGCCTCCCACAAGCTGTGATCACCAGTGATGACCAACACTTTACACGTGAGGCCCTGCGGTCAGAAAGGGGTGGTCAGGCATTCCCTGTGAGGGTGCAGTCAGTCGGGGGCGGCCACAGAAAGAAGAAGATGAGTCCTCCTTGTATATCCATCCACCCGCCCTCAGAGAGGGAAAACCCCCAAGTCGCTTCGCCCCCGAAACTGTCTGACTGCAGCATGATGCTGAGACGCAGGACACCGTCCTATGACTTGACCCCGCACACACCGTCAAACACGCACACGCAAGACGTCTCGGCAGATTCACAGATGCACTCCCCGATGCACATGGTGCTCACACCCATCCATGTACCACTGCAAGCACACTCATCAACACACACACTGACACCCTCGCGGGCATCTACTCCAGCACCCACTCAGACATACATTCCACCACATGCATCCACACCCACACACCCACACATCCCGATCAGCCCAAACATCTTCATTCAGCCTCATGCACCTCTGGTCCCAAATGCGATGCCTTTCGCACAGACACACTCCCTCTCCCCTGCTGCAAGGCACTCCCCTCACACAGGAGACTACGTCCCCCTCCCTCAGTTCACCTTCGACCAACCACAGTCCAGATACATGAGTGGCCTGTCAGCTGGCCTATCAGATGCTGATACAGCCACCTGCTCTTCCCCTTTCGACAACAGACTGGGAAGCAGTGCAGGAGTCAGTGCAAAGAACCGGAGGACCGCCCAATGAACATGGAGCATTGCCTTCAGGGAGTGAATTAATTGGTCCAAAATCTCTAAAATTGGATAGTGGAGCCTCTTTGAAAGAAGTTTACTGAAAGAGGGATTTTTTTTGTTTTTGTTAAGATGAATACTGAAAAGACATGACTTATTCTCTCCAGGGAGACCCTGGGACAGTCCTGTTCATGAATAATAGAAAATGGATCCATTTTCCTAAAGAAGAGGAGATCCACTGAGGCTGTACCAGTCAAACAGTACCCACTGTACATGGTGTGTTTGAGACTTACTCCAGTAACACACCAGGACTAAAGCCACCTAACTCCGTAGCCAAAGTTTTTTCTGACACACTGTCCCCACCCACGCTAGTCAATCAGGAAGCAGCGTCTGGCTGATAACCTCTGCCCTTTACAGGAAGTGGTTTGTGAAATGCGAGCGTGGGGGGGAATTGTGGGATATGCAACTTCAGGTTTTCTACAGAAGTTCTGCTTGCCCCTCCTCTGCTCCCCGATCACATTGATCAGAGCAGACGCGCGTGTGTGTGTGTGTGTGTGTGAGCGTGTCTGCGTTTTCCTATGTGCCAGTATTGTCAAATCTGTTGTCATGGAAGTCGGCCATGTAATTCTTACGCCTGCGACGACAGAGAGGGGGAGCAGGGCAGAGCTGTAGTGTATGTTTATCTGTGTATCTGTGCAGTGTAAATAAAGGAAAATACTGTATTTGGTGAGATTAAAAATAGCTCTATCCATATGCACATATTTTTATAGAGATCTAAAATGTTTTTTGCACACAAATTTAAATTTCAAGTTGCTTGTTTTTCCTCTGTTGTCTTCTTGTGAATGTATGTTTCTTTTCAAAACGGAGAGAGCAGGGAAGGAGCTCAACCCTCCTCTCAACAGGCCAGCTGAGGTCGAGAAGTGGGATTTTATTTTTCTATTTTGAAAAGGAGAAATGGGGTGTGGTGTGTTTCTGTAGCTTTGTCTCAGATTTCTATGTATTTGATGTCTAAATAACAGTCTTAAGAAGTGGGCTCAGTGATGCAAGCCAAATTCATTTTAAGATGTTTTTCCACACTCAGACTACTGACTAGGCATGTGTGCTGACTCTCCACAAATTCAATACTAAATGTGGCTATTATTCTAAATGAATCACAACGGGTTTTGCCCTTGAAGTGAATTAAAAATATAGTAACATATATGCAATACAGAAAAACAACTGTCCTTCGGTATATTTATTTGTGCAGATAGGTTAGAAAAGAACAACTTGTAAGCAGATAAATATATATGTGGGCTGCTGGCTTTGGGAAAATATACAAAATCCAGTGTTACCCTCTTGAAAAGTATAACCTGCCATCACTGAACCCTCCTTCTACAGCTGTTTTCAAGCTGGATCAGCTTGGACACCACTTTTGTACATCTAAAGACAACCAAACTAACTAAGTTACTAAATATGTGTAGCCAGAGTGCAATAATAATATATACTTGTGAAAAATATAGTAACATCCACACTACATACCACAACTACACTTTTGTGTTCGTACATACTGTAGAACTACTATATATGATATAAACCCAATTTTATATGATGATTGAAAGTATTTCTATCTCTAGTGTTCATATAGGTACGTGCCCCCTGCGTGTGGCATGGGCATGGCTGGAAGCTGTGTTAGGTAGTGTATATTTTTTATTAAAGCTCAGGCCCACCCGCTGAGTTACTGTAAGCAGAAGAGCATCTCAGCTTAGGACTAACCAGTTTATTCCCTCCCTTGATTTTATTTTTAACCCACCAGATTTGAAACCACACACCATATTTGTTACCTATATATCAGTTATGTTGAATTAACCTATCCACAGAATCATGTAACCTCCAAGGTGTGAATGACAAAGAATGACAAGCATTTTCCTTCCAGTGGCTGAACGTTTTCTTACCAAGCCATACCTTTATTCTGACACAGCACAATATGTGTTTTTGTTTTCTAATTTCTTGTGGTTTGGCACAAGAAATTAGAAGAAGATAGATGAGAAGCACGCTTGTAAGCTACTTGGGTACTTTCAAAGGCAGCTGGCTGGGACGGCGTCTTCATATCAACATATAACATGCACAACTCCTCGGTTATCTGAGAGAAAACCAAAGTGCTTTGATGTTGTACCATAATCACCGGAGGCCCAGTATTTCTCATAATTGTGCAATGGAAAACATAAATAATATCTGATTAAGTATTGCCAACCATATTAAGTATTTGTGATTGATTAACAAGATGATAAAGGTCTCTGAAGGTCAGTAAAAATTCTTAAATAGCCAGTTCGGCAACAAGTAAAGCCTTGTCTCTATAAAACAAAAATTTAAAAGCAGAGGACAGCTATTTTTATGATAATTTTTCAGTTACACAATTGGCCTGACATTGTGCTAAAACTAGCGGTAAAAAGCTGTAAGAGAGTGCTGACACCTACAGAAACCCTGTCCAAATTATTATCAGATTATCATTCTCTTTCAACACTCATTAGCTTTACGCCTCCCAAGCAAAATGTAGGGGGGCAAAATTGTGATAGAAAACGTAAGGAAAAAAGCAAAAGGAGAGAATAAAACGATTGAAATGTTAATTATGCCACAGGTCAATTACCTTTGACCTTTGGGCACTACAGCGCAGCCCTGTGATTGGTTGTCATCCTTGGATAAATCTACATTCAGAAGTACAGTGCTGCTGCTGTGAGCTGAGGTGACAGTCAGGCAAAAAGGACAAAGTTCGATAATGGTTTGCATCTTGCAAAGACAGAATGAAAAGGTTTTAGACAATGAAATCACAATTTGGAAATGTTGCTGCTGTCTTTTGATAGCACTCTTCTTCCAGTTCTGACATACAGAAACACATCTGATGCCGGATTCTGAGATGTCCTCCCTCCTCTACATGGCACAGTTGGTCGTCCCCTTGTTTAAAATGATTTTATTACAGTATGTGCTTGAACACACTGTTTTTGTGTAACTACTTTGTCTTGTTTCATGTCCTCTTCCTGCACAGATTGTCAGCAGGAGGTTTTAAGTTGTCTGAAGACAGCCTCTTTCTGGCTCCCTCTTATTTGACTTAGTGCGGACAACCCCGATATACAGCATAATGCCATATTAATCCACACAGTTTGGTAGAGTGACTGCATAATTGTTCTTACGATTTACAGATCTTTGGATCTCAGTATTTAAATCCTGTTTTTGAGGAAACAGTTTTGATTATTGCATGTTCTGATTTAAGGAAAAAAAAATGTTTTGGGAAAGAATCATCTGGATGTTTTAGAGATTTTGATATTTGCATTTTCAGATGTTTCCATTTGTAGACTACCTAATTGCACTGGGCTCTGATTAATTGGTATCTGATAAAATACTGATTAAATCACCCTGTTCTTTATTGTTCAATGCAATAGTGGGTGGTTATTTACTGTATGAGGACATATCTCCTCTTTATACAGTTTTATAGAGAGAAATGGCAACCTAGTTGGTTCTTTTTTTGTTCAGAACCAATGTTATTTAATGTTGAGGTGAACCTTTTTTCACTTTTCCTCCTGATACTCTAAACATGATGGTGAAACTAATTAACTGATGTATATTTTATGTAGGTGTAGCCTCAGCCCTGATGCTCTGTAAGGGACAGAAAAGGATAGTAATAAGTAGTGTTTTCTGGTCCGGCCTCACAGTGAAGCTGATCACGCTTCTGTCGCCGCAACGCCAGACTCCAGAAGGTTCAAACTGTGATAGAACTTGACTCTGATGAATCAGAAGCCTTGTGTTTTCATTCTTTCTTTTTTATAACCCTTCAGTGATTGGCCCAGGCACCCCCACCCCCAGACCCCCCCAAGCCTTACAAGGAGGGGAGGAGGTGTGTTCTGTCTGTCAGAGGAGAACCAATGTGTCTGCAATAATAAACCCTCCATTATTCCCTGTAACAGAGGGAGAAGGGAGGGGACAGGGGAGGTGTTTAAAGGCTCGACACACAGTCGGACTCTCTACATTGTATCGTTGCTGATTATTGTGTGATGACCAACTGTTGTCCTGAAGGATGTTTCCCTGTCAATTAAAAAAATACGATTTTTTTATTCCTGACACTTGTTGTCTGCTTTGTTTCTTATGTGGATGGTGTTAATTTACCCATTGATGAAGAATCCCTACTGTTTGTGCTAGGGTCATGTATTCGCCAATAGCACTGTATCCAGTAGGCTATAAGCTGATCCTTTAAACTGTTATAATATCAAATATCAATATCTGTGCTGGCCTCCAAAATTCATTATCAATTAGGCTATAGTGTAAAAGAAACACCAATTTTCAAATACATACATACATACATTCCAAATATGGATCAGCGAGTACATCATATTTTTACAATATCTGCAGTGTCTTCATTTGGTCTGGATCTCTTGTCAGACAACACACTGCGAAAGTTAATTGTTACAAAGTTGTTCTTGTAGGAGACACGCTGAGGTGTTTGGATTAGGTGTCACTTCAAGGTAGATCACAGTGTAGCCTTAAAGGGGGATATTAACTATTGAAATCAGATGTTTTTTAAAAGGTGCAGATGATTACAAAAGAGAACAAGGTATTCGGCACTGATGTTGTGATGTCTCCTGAATTGTTCCAGATACTCTTGTGTGTGCAGTAAGTGCTTATTTCTCCAACAGTTTAGAAATGTCAACTATTTCCAAGCTTATTCAATTTACGATAGGGAACAAGACCTCACATACAGTACATTCTTAACAACATTAAGTTTGTTTTCCTCTTGTGTGGTCCCACGTCTGCATTAAAAATGTGTGCTTTCAGCAAAATGAGGGACTGAGAATTATACTAGAGGTTACCTGGGCACAAGCAGTCACAAGACAGGCATATCTTTTACAGTAACACCTAATCTGATATCCAACGAAGGTTAAAATCAAGGGCAACTGGACTTGGTTGAAGATACTGGAAGATGTTTCGTCCCTCATCCAAAGGACTTCTTCAGTTCTGACTGACTGGCAGGGAAACTCAGCTATTTAACCTCAGTGGGGTCGTTGGCCCGGGTCATCGATACCGCTGGTTCATTAGTGTTCCTTGTTGCTGTGACGACAGTCGTTACAGTCGTTAAGACTACCTGTGGCCAAGACTGAACGACCATCGTTGGTATCTTCACCTGAGGCCAATAGGTTACGTTTGTTGAGTTTCTCCTTCAGAGGAACAGCACCGAGCCACTGGTACAGGTATGTGGACGACACCTGGGTCAAAATTAAAAGCCAGGAAGTGCAAGCCTTCACAGAACACATCAACTCTGTGGACAGTAACATCAAGTTCACACGAGAAGATTTGGTTGGCCTTCCTGGACTGCGCTGTACACATTGAAGAGGACAGGAGCCTGCAGATTGGTGTTTACAGAAAACCCACACACACAGACCAATACCTACTGTTCGATTCACACCACCCACTGGATCACAAGCTAGGGGTCATGAGAACACTGCACCACAGAGCGGAAAACATACCAACAAGCGCCCAAGCCAGAGAGAAGGAACAGAACCACCTGAAGGGGGCACTTACAGCCTGTGGATACCCTAAATGGACCTTTGTGAAGACAGCCACAAGATCCAAGAAGAACAAAACTACAGGGGAGGAGGAAAAGAAGGTCAAACGCAAACATTGTGATTCCATATGTGTCTGGAGTATCAGAGAAACTCAGGAGGATTTTCAACAAACACAACATCCCTGTTTTTTTTAAACCCAAGAACACGCTAAGACAGATACTGGTACACCCCAAAGACTGCACACCCAAACACAAGAAAAGCAATCTAGTGTATGCAGTCCAATGCAGTGAGGAATGCACAGACCTGTATATTGGGGAGACTAAACAACCACTACACAAACGCATGTCTCAACACAGAAGGGCCAACTCCTCAGGTCAAGACTTTGCAGTCTACTTACATCTGAAGGACAGAGGACACTCGTTTGAGGACCACCAGGTGCACATTTTAGACAGAGAAGATGGATGGTTTGAAAGAGGTGTCATCTATACCAGGGTTGAGAAGCCGTCATTGAACAGAGGAGGGGGTCTACGCCACCACTTATCCACCACTTACAATGCTGTCCTTTCATCACTTCCCAGGAAACTCAACAAACGTAACCTATTGGCCTCAGGTGAAGATACCAACGATGGTCGTTCAGTCTTGGCCACAGGTAGTCTTAACGACTGTAACGACTGTCGTCACAGCAACAAGGAACACTAATGAACCAGCGGTATCGATGACCCGGGCCAACGACCCCACTGAGGTTAAATAGCTGAGTTTCCCTGCCAGTCAGTCAGAACTGAAGAAGTCCTTTGGATAAGGGACGAAACATCTTCCAGTATCTTCAACCAAGTCCAGTTGCCCTTGACTTTAACCTTCGTTGGATAACTATGACCTGGATGACTGAGAATCTTCATAGACATCTAATCTGATATCCTTTCAGGGTGATACCTACCTGTAACACTTGTAGCACAACATGCTAATCAGTGGACTCGTGTAAATGAATTAACATCACCAGATTAACCACTGGGCACTGTGTTAAAAAGTTTATTTACATAAAGTTTAATGTAAATCGCTCTTTTGACAAGCCCATTATAATTTTATTTCTTGTTCACAGGTTACACAATAAATGTGTGTTTTTCTCCACTTCAACATAAATAAGACAAGGGAATCATTTACTGCCTTTATTGTGATTTGCATACCAGGTAAATTGCTCAGGTTTAAATAACAGGTTTAAATAAACTTTTAAGTCCCTAAAGGAGAACTTCAGTGCTCACCTCCAGTCGCTAACATTACAACAGTTCAACAGCACAAGCCAGCCCAGAAATCTTGATATAGTCATGGACTCAGACCTAAATATTAACATCCATATTAAGATAATAACAAAATCAGCCTATTTCCACCTTAAGAGTACATCAGTAATTAAAGGACTTATCTCAGTAGGATTTAGAAGAACGTATCCCGGTGTTTATCTTCAGTGGGGTTGAATATTGTTATGAGGTCTCTACATGTCTCTCTAAAGAGTCGATCAGACAGCTGCTGCTAAAGTCCTCTTTATGAAGTGGACCAAGTCCATCTAATTTTCAGATCTTTACACTGGTTTCCTGTCTGTCAAAGAACTGCTTTTAAAGTACTGTGTTTGGTTTACAAAGCATTGAATGGTTTAGGGCCAAAATACATTTCTGATCTGCTATTCCATTATAAACCAACTTCTCAACTGCTCACTGTTCCTGGAGTCAACATTAAAAAAGCTGCATGTAGTTTCTGTGCACCACATACTATAATAATGCTTTATTTATAGAGCACTTTTCAAGCAAACCGCACAAAGTGCTTTCCAAGGTGAGAAAATTCATAACATAAGCAACATTGGGAATACTAGCAAGTGCTAAATAATGAAACATATGCACATTCAAACATACATACGCACACACATTAACTCAATGAAATAAATGAAAAAGCCATTCTGTAAAAGTATGTTTTAAGAGTAGATTTAAAAGCAGTGACAGTCAGCTGATCTGTTGCTCAGTGGAACGCTTTTTCAGATCCGAGGAGCCAGGACAGCAAAGGCTCGATCCCTCTTTGTTTAGCCTGGACACTGAAATAGTTTTTAAAATATCTTGTACAATTCCAGAGGGCAGACAGCTTTTGATGAAGGTCAGCAGGCCAGGACTGACTGGTTGTTTTTTTAGCAGTTCTGTTTGGATAATATCAAGGGAACTCGCTGAGGGGATCAGAGTGACACTGTTTTCCTAAGATCCCGCAGTGATATTGGTCTAAAACAATCCAACACATCCGAGGAGGAGCAAGGGAGTTCAACTGCAGAGGCAGGAGGCAGGGGCATAGGTATAGACAGTGCAGCTGCACTAGGGGCCGTACCGTACAAGGGCCTCTGACGGGAGCGGCCCCGCCAGGTTACGAGCAGGAGTTTGTCAGCTACATGGTAAAAACTATAACTATCCTCCTCATGCAGAAGTAGGAATGCAGCTCTCCTCCTATAACCAGAATTATAACAAGTTCATGTGGTAGCCTATGTATACCTTCGAATGTGCATACCCCCCTTTACTGTGGTGTCAGTCAGTAGTTTTACCCACAAAAGCAAGCTAAGTTTTTAGCAAGCAAAGCTCTAAAAAAAATATAGTCCACAGATTCCACAGAATGAATATTGTCTTATTTTCTTTACTATATTTGTGTAACAAAACTACATTTGCAGTGATGATTGCTGGGTAATATGTGGCTGCCCAATCTTAAGTTTCTATTTGATCATGTGACAAGACAACAAGCGTTTAGCTAACAGGTGAAAGGCAAACTTTGACAAGTAGACTAGTAGAGCACACATACAAGCTAGCAGTCATGCTATTTAAACATAAAAGTAGTTTCAAGAAGAGACAGGAGAGAAAAGAACAGGAGGAGAGGGTCGCAAAGCTCCTAAATAAGATTGTTTTGGATTTTTCGTACTGAGGACATTATCAAAGATTTTGCTCAATGCAAGGCTCCTCGGATGCCTTTCAAAGAGTTGAGTACAAGAGCTTTTTCATTTGGTGTGGCTGCCTTGCCACTGTTTTAAATGCTTTTATCATCTGGGCTGACAGGTCGCCGATGAGCACCTGTTTGATATTGTGGATGTGCTTGTGGGTATTAAAACCGTGTGTGTGCAGTAGCTGGCCTGGTGGTGCCCAAATGGTGTTGTGTATGAGTAGGCTGCTTTTCTTTCTTATTCACCACAATTGAATCGAAATTGATTTAAGTAGGTTAGGTATTTACTGCATATAATCTTAGCAGTTGTTAAACCCTGCACAATAAGGAAAAAAGCCACACAAATTTGTCAATATAGGGTTCCCTTGTAGACACAAACACAGTGTGTGTGTGTGTGTGTGTGCGCGTGCGCGCTTCCCAACTGTGGAGACTAAGGGCCTATCAAAACACCCTGCACTGAGGCCCATTGTTACTACCTTACGCTACTGGCGGGAGGAGTAATATTTGCCCTAATATGATAAATCTTTTCTATGAAGAAGGTGAGAATTTGGTCGTAGTCAGCTGGAGAAGAAACAGCTGAGTGCAGGGGAAGTCGAGTTTCCAAGCTGA